ACTTTTGACTTTTAGCAGAGTTTTAGTGCTAGCTTGTGGGCATGGGTCGTTGTGTTTCAGCACTCATGTAGAATCACAGAGCGGTTTGGGTTGGAAGGGGACTTAGAGATCATCTTCCAGCTCCCCTGCCCTGGGCAGGGATGCAGTCTCTCCCTTTTCTGCTGCTTTTTGTTTCCTTTGTGGGTGACCCTTAAGACCTTCAGGACCAACTTCTGAAGGTCTTTAGGAGTGGATTCAGTGCTTATCCTCTAGCAGTTTCCCAGTTTATTACTGCTGCTAAACAAGGAGAAACTTAGGTAACAGTTGTTCCAATATGTGCAAAATGTAACAAGCATATCATTCTGCCAACAGTCCTACCTCATCTTGCAGACCTACTTAGTGAACTTTACCTGGATTGGCAAAAACTTCAGTGACTGAAGGAAGGGTCAGCTGTGAATCTTGCAGAGGAAGTGAAAGGAAATGTAGGGTACGAAGTAGTTTTAGCTAACAACCCAATTGACTTATGACATCATGATTGAAATCCTTGTAGAAGGCTACCAAAGAGCAAATAGAAATGCCTTTAGGCTATATTATGGAGTAGACTTGACTTTTAACATTGTGAATTGTCTAGACTCCTTGTTTGGTTTTTTAAAATTTTTTAATTGGTTCATTGCTCTTTAGCTTTTTGAATGCCTTGAAAATTCTTCATCATACAGTTTGGAACAATTACTAGAGAACATTCTCTAATAAAAGTGACTTAAATTGAGGTACTCTGAGATTAGTGAACCTACTCGGACGATTATTTTTGTTTCCTCTGTGTGTGACCTGTACTGGGGAGCTATAATTGTTTAGGCAAATCTTTTGTTAGCTAAGCTTTACTAGTAAATATTCTTGTGAACATGAAAAACAAACAAAATTGAAACTCCTAATTGATAGCTCACATTTGAATATTGCTTTGCTCTGATGTAAGCACAAATCAGGGGCTTAGGCTTCAAATAATGACAGGCCTGTTGGAAGCAAATTGAAAAATTACTTAGACCTGAAATGCACCAGGAAATAAGATGAATTAAGGCCAGTAGAATGGAAAATGCAAATAGCTTATATTCAAGCAGATCAAGAAAGCATTTACTCCTTTATTTGAAAATTACTGGGCTTTGTGTTAATTTCTTAGGTGGTTTAAGCTAATCTCTAAAGGAGTCCTGAAGTACTTAACATTTGTTTTGTAATGGATTCCAGTCATAACTGTATTTTGAAATCTCACTTGTTCTTTAGAGGTGTAATACAGCCTTTACTAAACAGCTAAAAGGATGGCTCTTAAAAAAACCCAACAAAAGACATGGACTTGTTAGAGTGCGACCAGAGGAGGCCACACAGATGATCAGAAGGCAGGAACACCTCTCCTATGAAGACAGGCTGAGAGAGCTGAGATTGTTCAGCATGGAGAAGAGAAGGCTTTGGGGAGACATCACTGTGGCCTTCCAGTATCTGAAGGGGCTTATGAAAAGCAGGGAGAGGGACTTTTTATATGGGCAGATAGTGACAGAACAAGGGGCAATGGTTTTGAACTGCAGGAGGGTAGGTTTAGATTAGATGTGAGGAAGCACCTCTTCCCTGTGAGGGTGGTGAGGCACTGGAAGAGGTTGGCCAGAGCAGTTGTGGATGCCCCATCCCTGGAAGTGTTGGAGACCAGGTTGCATGGGACACTGAGCAACCTGGTCTAGTGGAAGGTGTCCCTGCCCACAGCAGGGGGATTGGAACTAGATCATCTTTAAGGTCCCTTCCAACTCAAACCATTCTATAACTGTAAAATTTTTAATGGGAAAATAGGTCAATCTCTATCAAATTACAAAATTGAGCAGAAACATCAGATGTTCTTTATTATGGTTGACCTGAAATATTTAGATGCTCTGCTGTGATAATATAATCTTCACCACTGAACATTAGCTGTAGGAGAGGTTATACTGAAAACAAGAGATGTACAACTTAGTGCAGATTTTTTTTGTGTTTAAAAGAAATGCAAAACTAGTTTTCAGTGAAACGGTTAATGATGGCTTCAATACTTAGTGGAAAGTTTGTAGATGGAGTTTGTGAAGAATATCTCTACAGAATAAAAGCTTTACATTTGGAAAGTCATAGCTAAAAATAAGCATGTGAAATACAGATTAAAATTAGTAGTTAAGGAAGCCAGTGGTTTTTGCATTAGTAGGAGGTGCTCGCAGTTCTTGATTTAGCTTGTTACATGTGACTTAACCAGTGTTTCATTGCTTGTTTCTCAGACTAAGGAAAAATAGTAATTCTCACCCCCACACCTTGTAGTTCTTTCATCTGTGAGGAAAAGAGTTCTACTCATTTATTCAATTAGAAAGCCCAATAGCCTAACTAGATACTGTATGTTTTCAAAACAGCTTATGGCTGGGAAAGCAGCTGTTGCATATTGCTAAACAAACTTTGCTGCCATTCTTAAGGCATGTCAGGTGTTATTTTTGTACGTATAGTTTATTTAATGAATATTAGCGAGACTTATCAAAGTGTGTTTAATAGATGGTCTTGGATCATCTCTGTACTGCTTTCCTTTCCTTCATCTTCTCTGTCCATTCTGTTCTTTTATTCTTTCATGTCTTTTTCAGCATCTGCTTTCCTCTTGTGTTTCATCTTGTCTCAGTCCTCTTACTTAGTATTTCCTTTAATTGCTTTCTCCATAGTCTGACAAACATGTATGTATTTCAACTCTCCTGCTGCCGCCAAATAAAAGACAATCTCCAGTTTTAACAGAACCTTGGAAATACCTATATTGAGCCAAAATGGCAGAGAACAGATTTGGCATTTCAGCCTGAAAACCAAGGGGACTACCACCACCTCCTAGTCATGGCTGAAATACATTCTTTTTTTTCATTATTTAGGGAAGAGTCTTGACAAAAAGCAGGTACTTCTCACTTGCTGTAAAATTCCAGCACTCTCCCAGCTGTCATCCTTGTTTCTGGATATGCATTTGGCAGAAGAGTTGATGTCTCTTTAAAAGCAGGCAATTTGAGGAAGGCTTCCTCCCAGTCCCTACTGACTGCAGGAAGAATGAACTCTTATTTCTAGGCTTGTTCTGCCATTGCACTTCTCTGCTTCTTTCTCCCACCACACTTCACTGGTAGTTGTGGTGGAACTGTGTGTTGCTGGTGCTGTGCAGTTCTCCTGGCTGGCTGATCACACAGAGGGGAATGGTCACTTCACTGACTTACCCTATCCCCTGGGATTTTCTCTCCTCCTTCACAGTAAATAGTGTGAGCTTTGGTGTGTTATTTAGGTTATTCTAAGCAGCACTGTTGTGGAACAGTCACAGGTTATCAGAGTCTTTTATGTTCTTCGGTGTCTTAGTAGGCTACACACTTGGAAGTCTTAACTTTGATGATAAAAGGATAATTTCTAGGTTTGTGGAGATGTTGCATTTGATTTATATGCAAGAATTTCCCAATGCAGCTGCTAGGATAAGAGATGTTAAGGGCCCCTACCTCACCTTCCACAAATAAGTATAAAAATGCCAGTATTGTTCAAGGAGAAGGTTGCTGTTCTTGCAGAACACAAACTGGATTGTTTGGAAATGTGCTATCACTTCTTGTAGATCTATAAGCCCTGTTATAACTCACTTCTGGGTGGTTTTCATGGCAAAAGTAATCCTACTGGTTTAAATGAACACAGAATAAAATTGTGACAGACAGGTGATAGCAAAGGCTTTGATTACATTGCAGTGTAAGCATATTTGAAATGTACACAGATTTATAAGCTTGTAGTTTTAATTCCATCTGTATCAAGATAGACTTGTATCCTAAATTAAAGAATTAGTATATTATTGTGTACCTGCTCCTTAAAATAAACATAGTGATTTCATAGGTGGGTATTTTGACTCTTCAGGTCAAGGCTATTAGTTTTGCAGAAACTCGCCTAAAAATTAATGAGGTGAAATGAGATGGTGAGTGACTGAGAAAACAAAATGGAAATGGAATGGAAAAATAGTAGTAATGAGAAATAGTGTTTTCCAGCATTATTGTTAAGCTATGTCTATGACAGCTACCTCATTGCTATTTGTCTAAAGGCCTTCAAGTTTTGTTGCAAATGATCCTGTAATTTAAAGTTTCCCCTTCTCTCCCATCCTCAGAGTCCTGGTTTTCTTCAGTTTAAATGTGTCATGTAATGAAGTTGGGGCAGGGCAAACTCCAAGGATAATTGAAAAGTTTGTTCTGACTTTTGAAAATAGCTCTGCATGTTCATGCTCTGGCAGAGCATAAAACAAAGAAACTCAGCCTGCTGTGTTAGAGTACCTGTGTCAGATAGGTCTGTCTGGCATCGGCATCAACTTTCTTTTACAAAAGAAAGCAATAGCTATTTTGGTTTAGGCATAAGAAGGTTTCTCTGACATAACTATTTAGTTTGTGGGCACTAATAACAATACCAGTTGCCCTGGTTCCTCTTGACCTCCTGCCACCTTTCCACTGAAGAGATGGGATGATAGTCATCTTTTGCCTGCCTTACTTTGTTCTTGCTCTTTTTACCCATTCCTCAGCTGTTTAGAAGACCCTTTTCAGCCTTTTGAGCCTTGAGGTTGAAAACCAAGTCAACAGTAGCTTATAATCCTTTGCAGTTGCTAAGGTATGCTGTCTTCTAAAATTGCTTTCAATAAGATTTGTATACATTGTCTTCTTGGCCAGGTAAGAAAATACTTTTCTGAATTTTATGTCAACACTCAGCTGTGTTGGAACTCTTCACTGAAAAGAGTTGTAGATAATTTCCAGAAGAATAACATGAGAATATTTAGCTGTAAGCTTTTGTGTTGATAAAACCTCAGTTGGTTCTCATGCCTTTTTTTCAGTATGTTACCATTAGTCTTATCTCCACAGCAGAATTAAACCTGATGGAAAGCTGTAAAATTAACTTCTTTTAAATTGTCAAAATATTGTCTTGACATTTCAGTATTGGATAGGAAATACCTACTTATGTTTGTTTGTTTCCCTTGCCTCCTTTCTTCTCCACCATAGAAATCCGCTATGCGACTGTGTACTGGAATAGAGCTGAAAAAACACTTCAGGTCAGGAATATACTGGACAGGAGTGGAGATGCTTATGGATTCTACAACAATAGCATACAGACAACAGGCTGGGGAGTCCTGGAGATCAGAGCAGGCTATGGCAGACAGACCTTAAGCAATGAAGATATCATGTATGCAGCTGGCTTCTTGGAAGGCTATCTCACAGCTCCGTAAGTATTTCAGGAAGCGACTCAATTTATGACATTTCCCAGTGGATTTCTGTACCTGTGAAGTTTTTTGTTTGTTTATATTTCCATAAATTCCTGTGCATTTTAACTAACCATATATTTTGCAGTTGTGTGCTCTTCTAATTAGTAGCAGGTATGAAGTATAGCTTTTTCATTATGGGATCAAGATGTAACCTAACACCTTGGTGAGATACAGCAGTACTGCATCTATATTACTGATTACTGTAATCACAGAACAGTCTATGTGTAAGGACATACATAAGCCCTGTGCTGTAAATAATTACCAAAAGGTTAGCAAAAAGAGTAGTTATTTCCACAGCCTATAGTTAGATGACTGACCAACAGCAGATGAGCCAGTTGAGAGCAGACCAGACAGGGAGAAATGTTGCTGGCAAAGTCTACAGAGCTTCCTTAACGACCTTTTTCAGCAAACACTGTCTAGAAACTGCTGGGAGCAGATACTGAAACTTCACAGCATGGGGAGTTGTCTTGGCCAACTTAAAAAAACCCCAAATTATTTATCCTGATAGGCCTGAAGGCAGATTGGTGTATGTCTAGAAGGGTCAATGTTCTCAAACCTGAGGGACTGCATCTCTCCCACAATGCAGATTGATGAAAACATACAGAATTTTGTACTTGTTACGAATCCAGAGCAGTTTCTTTTTCTAAAATAAAAAAACCCCCAAACCCAAAATACATAACCCCAAACAACAGCCAATCCAAAAGACTAATCCCTGAACCAAACCTTGTTCTTTCCTTCACTAAGTTCCAAGACATAATGGCACTTTGAAATACTGGTAATAGATGGCAGGGCTAGGTTGGACTTGATGATCTTAAAGGTCTTTCCCAACCTAAATGATTCTGTGATTCTGTATAGCTGGTGATATAGCTAAGAACATGACATGTGGCTTGTTGTTGAACAAGCTGCATCTTTGCCTCTATTAGCTTAGTCACAGGAAAAGAAACATTTCCAAATTTTGATGCGTGGCTGGGGAATAGTTGGGAGAGGTTTGTGATGGCTGTGGTGACATGAATTTGGCTTCACCGGCTTTGCTTTCAGACACTGAAATGAATCCTCATAGGCTGTGTTGAACAGCCCAGCAAGGGAAGGTCTGATGAACATTTGTCATATATGGCTGCTGGACAAGATGATATTAATGAGTAAGATATTTTAAAATTGGTTAATATTCGTGGGTAGTTCTGTAATCATATGATAATGTGAGTCTCTAGTAGACTCTGCTGAGGAGGCAGCTAGGTCTCTGGAAGCTTATAAAGGAAATTCAATAAAGTAGTATTTGTCAATAACAAAACACTTCTGAGAGAGAGTAAAGTAATCCCAGAGTTCTGAGTGTACAACCTGCACATCAGGCAGGAAACAAAATGAAGTACATGAGAGATCTGAATGTGTATTGTTGGTTTATTTGGCATGAGAGGTTACTGTTTTGCACTATTCAGGCAGTTTATGGAAACTGTCTGGATCTGGGGGATGCTAGCATTACATTTAGAATACTGTTAAAATTGGGCATTGCTCAGCAGATTTTTTTTCACTAAGGCTTTACGTAGGTGTATTCATCTCTAAGTGGTTAAGTTTAAACTTTGTCATACTACAGGTAGCTCGGTCCATGCTAAGCCTAAGTAGTGTTCTAGTAGCAACGACTTGCCCCCTGTTTCTCTTTTGCCTCCTCAGTAGGTTTGTGTCTTCCTGGCTTTTAAACAAACTTAAGTATATGTCTGTTCCTTTAAATGTGGTTTGAATGTGAAACAGGGTCTGCAGAGGCTCTTTTGCTGTCTTAATCTACACTAAATTTTAGAGGAAGGAGATTCCCCCTTTGGTTTGTTTTGGGTTTTTTTTTTTCCATGTGTGTTAAGGGAAGATTCACTGAAGGGAAATTATGCAAGTTATTCTGCTCCAGGCTTTCACCTTCTCCAGATCAGGTACTTACTGAGGTTGGCTCCAGCACTGAGTGGTCCTTTGTAGAGAAGTGGATATAGCAGAAATAGTAATGAACAGAGGTCTTAAAGTCTGTGGAAGTGAAGCTGGGGGTTTGTATCAATGTGGAAAAGTAGGGCTTGAGACTATGGCCTTTAAGCAAAGTGGGAAATTCAACTCTTAAAGGAGTTAAGTGCAAGAGTGGGTTAAGACGCAAACCCAGAACTAGTTAAAGCCTTTCTTTGCTATGGCAACTGAGAAAATCCACCGAGAAATCCTCTGACAAGTGCAAAACCTGAAAATGCTTACCATCACTAAAATGCCTATCACATATTACACATACAATCTGAGTTTGGGGTTTTGGCTATGACTTTGCCCTGTTGTACATCTGTGACTGCAGTGGAAGCATTCTTCTCACTGGGGGTTATGAGCATTAGCTTTTTCTGTCAGGTCATGTAAAGCTATTTTGGATAAAGAAGGCTTCTCCAGAAGCTAAGAATACCTTTTGAAAATGCTTCAACTGAGGAGCAGAAATGAATTACAGACGTAATCTCTTAACCCTTGAGAAGACAGAGACCTTATTACTTCAGGTTTTAGCTCCATGACCTTGCTGGTTTTTTATTTGGCAAACTGCAACTAGTGAATCCTTTTATACACTGTATTTGAAATTCTTGAATCACAGGAGTGGTGAGAACTCACTAAGTTTGGAGATGTTAAGATTGCTCTCAGAGCGCCATTTCTCCTTCATCTTGCCTAGAAATTCACAGAATCCTAATTAGCATGCAGGCAGATACTCTGTCTTTGGGACAGTTAAGCAAGTCTTTTGAAGTAAAACTGGGAAACAGCCTTTCTCAATCTGTGACTCTGTTCCCATCAGACTACCTGGCCCATTCAGCCTGTCTTCAGGGAAACTCTCTAGGACCATCACAACTTTCTTTATGAGATAGTGTCTCTAAACACTCATTCTGCTTTTGCTCACATTGGCGTCCACAGTAGCTGCACATAGCTCAACCTTGGTTTTTTTAAGGACTTGGTAACAACAAGGTGGATAGAGTGTAAGTATGTGTTTAGCTTTGGGGAAAGCTTTATTTGCAGTGTCAGTCACTTAGCTGCTGGAGTGAAGACTCTTGTGTCACTTGCCTGTGCAAGCACCTCAGGTGGCTCAGGCACAGCCCTCCAATGTGAAAACATTGGATATGCTTGGTAACTGTAGAGTCTTTGAGCACATGGCTACTTGTAGTCTGAACAACTCCAAGGTCTCCAAGCTGTCTTGCATCCATATGTGATAACGACTCCAGGAAGCAGAAATGCCCCAGGGTGGCTCTTTACAGAAACCTGAAGTCCTACTAGGATGAGCTCTGATGGGATGTGTCATTAGGAAGGAAACATTACGTGCCTGATCCTTGGTTGAAGTGCATGTTCCTGCAGAAGCTGTTGGGTGAGCAGGAACTCCAACTTGACAGTGCCTGCAGGAGACCTTCAGGAATTCTCAGCTAGCATTACACTTAGGGCATGCTAGAGAGTTTTGAGACATAGCCAGGCCTCATCATGTAAGCAAAAAGAGTGGCAAAGTAGCTCTCTTAAAAATACATGCTTTGCCTTTAGTAGGAGCCTAAGTAGACTGTAAAACAACCAGATGAAAAAAAAAATCAAAGTAGGAAACATGCTAGAACTGTTTTACCTCAGATTCGTGGGGAGGAGTTAATCTCATCTCTCGCTGCATAGGTCTGTGGTAGGAAAAGGGATAGTTCAGCCCGTCAGACCAGTTTACCAGTGATGGTAGAAACGTAAGCCTTTTCTACAGCATGTTTCATCTCTCTAGTGTGGGAGCCTGATTCGGATAGTAGTCGTATGTTTTGAAAACACATAGTTAGATATTGGATAAATCTAATTCTAGTGTCTATAGTGTCTGGATGTCCAGACATTTGTTTTTATCCCCATTCTTTCTCCTCTCTGTAAGGTCCAGTCCTATCACGCAGCCAAAGATGTGAGCCTTTTCTACAGCATGTTTCATCTCTCTAGTGTGGGAGCCTGATTCGGATAGTAGTCGTATGTTTTGAAAACACATAGTTAGATATTGGATAAATCTAATTCTAGTGTCTATAGTGTCTGGATGTCCAGACATTTGTTTTTATCCCCATTCTTTCTCCTCTCTGTAAGGTCCAGTCCTATCACGCAGCCAAAGATGTGGTTTTCTTTGAATTTTCTTTCCCTATTACAAATAGAGAAGTGTTAATGAGGCCTTACTTTACTTAGTGGCAGAGCACATCCAAATCCGTGGCATTAATTTAAATCAGTTACGGTTGGGGCGTGCCAGGTGACTAAGAGCAGTATTTAAACTTGAAGCAACATTAATTTTACTCTTTTCTACTATAGCCTCATATGACCTGAATCCTGTCACTTTCTTCACTAATTTGAAGAAAGGCTCTGCTTTTCTGTGTTTAGGCTTTGCGTTCTTGTCCCAGATTTGTGATTGCCTTGCATTTGGCCTTAAATGTAGTTGCAAAGCCTTACCTTACTGTCGAGATTCAGTTTACTTTAGAGAATAATACCCTTACAAAACATGCAAGCCATGCACATAGAAGCTTTGTTACTGCAAAAAAAATGAAAGAGAGCAGCTAGAGGAAAGGCTTTCAATAACCTTGGTCATTACAAAAATAAAATAAATTTCAGGTATTTTCTGTCCTATGTTAGCATATACATGTGGGGAAGCGATTAAAGAAGCTCTTCTCTGCCCCCTCATTCTGAACTAACCCAGTCTCTACACCAGTCATCTCAGCTTAAAGATACTCAGTGTAAAATCTGCCTTGTGTTGCATAACCTGTGAGTACAAAATAGAGAGTAGAGCTGATGGTTGAGTCTGGAAGCCTTATCATTTGTCTTGGCCTAGGCAATGGTTAGAGCAGTATCCTAGATCTTGTTTATCCTCCCTCTGGTTCTAATCCCTAAATGACCATTTGCTAGGTGGACCTACTCGTACTATTTGCTCTTCTTTAGTAACATGAGAGCTCTGATTTGTAATATGTTACACTCTAATTTCCTTCCTAAAATTACTTGGGATTTTTATTTGCTAAGCTCTCTGTGAATTGGCAGGGGTGGAGACCTATTGATCTGTCTCTTCAACTTTCTTGTCCCCTTCAAGAAGCAGGTTATGGTTATGTCATGTAGTCTTGTGTTACATGGGAGACAGGAAGCTCTAAAAGTAAAATTGATGCCATAGCTGCAGTATCATGAAAGATACAATGGTGCAAAGCTGTTGAATGCTCCCCTCTCTTGTCCCAGCACCTCCTTCCACAGATCTAGTCCCTTCAACTTGTGGGTGTCCGGGCACTGATCAGGCCCTTCCATGCATCAGTTAATCTACTAATACAGTATAGAGCTGCCTTCTTGCACTGACTCTCTTGCTCATCTGTTTACATAACAACCTCATTCAAACTATAAACTGCCAGAAAAATAATTCACATTTTTGCTGGGTTAGTGTTTTGCTCTGATGTGTGCAGACAATTAGATTTGGTAGTCATAGTACCAGAGCTGAGATAAGAAGCAGCAGGGTCATGCAATCGGGTTCATGCAGTCATCTGGGAGTGGGGCAAGGGACAGAAAGAGGGGAGAAGGTCAGTGCATGATTCTCTAATCATCAGCTAAACATTCAATTGTCTCTGTCTGTATTCTCTAATTATGCCCTGAGGGAAACGGGGAAGAGTTCCTCTCTGCATCCCTCCCAGAGAAAGCTGCCCTCATGAGTTTTACTACAGGAATTCTGTCCTGCTGGCATGTGCTTTCCTTGAGGCTGGTATCTGTTTCTTAGTGCTGTTTTCTTTCTCGAAGCACTTGGTAGGGGATAAATTTACTGATGACTGATGTAGTTCTACCTCTATCAACTCCAATCCTCAGCAAAATTGTTCGCTGCTGATGTCCCCTTTTGTGTTTTTGTTTTGTTTTTTTTTTTTTTTTTTTTTTTTTTTGTTAATCAGTGACTGAAAAAAAAATACTGGTTAAGTTTGCCCCAATTAAGCAATGTTGAAATTCTGTTTTGTCTTGAATCAGACAATTAACATTTCACCTAGAAGGATGACTTTAACTTTTAGGCTCCTGAGCATTTTTAGCAGTTGATTTCATCTTGAAGGACTTCAACAAAACACACAAAAAACCTGTAACCAATCAAATGAGAAAGCCCTTTCAACTTTTGTTTCTATCAGTTGAAACAACTAACTGAATTCAACAACAAAAAAAATCGTGAAAGTTTTGGTCTCCATCAAGCTGAATCTATTTAGGGCTGGCATGAGTGGGAGTTTCTGTGGGAACATGTAGGATCAACTTATACACACTTTAACATGGAGATACTTAGCTTAATCAGAAAGGAAGGCGCATGGTTAATGGCAAGTAAAACCTGCTGTGTAGCATACTGAAATTAACTCTCTGAATAATGAAATTAACTGAATCAACAAGTTACATAATCTTCACTTTTGTGGGTTTGGGTTTTTTTTCTGCTACACATAGAATAGCTTTCCAGAAATCTGTTTTTGTTGTGCTGTAAATTAATGTGCTAATGCTTTCAAGATGCTTCTGGTGTACAGATATTTCCCAAATGTGCAGTTTTGCTATGAGCTAGTTCAATCTCATTCTCGCTTATCTTCTTTCCGTTGTGCAGCAGTTTGAGCAGGCATTGGTAAGGTCATTTATTGTAAGTAAAATTTCAACAATCCTTTTGTGTTACCTTTGGTGTTTGTCATGCACTGGAGTAATTTCTGTGCTCCTGGGAAAGGCTTTGTGGACTGTGTTGCTTGTCTGTCAATGCATGTTGATCAATGGGTTGATAAGTAAAAGGTAGGAAGGATGCAAAAGGATTAACTGCTGCTACTCTTGTGTTTTTCAGGCACATGTATGACCATGCTGCCAATATGTATCCACAGCTAATTAAGAATCCCACCGTTCGAAGCGGAGTGCAGAATTTTATGGCGTATGTATTTAGTTACTCAAAGTAAATTATTCAAGACTTGGGGTTTGAGGATGACAGAATTTTCTATGTTTTCCTTTGTGCTCTTCCTCATGGGATAAAGAAAATAGATGTCTCCTTTCCCTCTGATAGAATCCCATGTTTATTAAAAGAAATTCTAAATGTACATGAAGAAGGGTGTATACCCTTCCCTAATTTTGTTTCTTTCAAAGGAATGTTTAAAACCTTTGCTACAAAAGGGTGTGGGTGATGTCAATGAATTCCGAAGGTCATGGTAGTAAAAATCCTTTTCTAAAAAGCTGGTATTTTGAATGTTACACTGAACAGTGTGGTCTCCTGGCACCTTAATCATTTTAGCATTGTGTATCCTTTCCTTCCTCTGTTAGGTTAGTTTTTTATTCTACCACTGATATAAATTCTGTTCCAGTCACAAGAGTCCTGATTCCCTCTTCTCTTCAGCTGTATAAATCAAAAGTAATTCTGCTCGAATAATGCAGCTACACTGGTGGGAAACTACCAGTGGGAGAAGAACCAGGCCAGGTACTGGGAAACTCAGCTGTGACTACCAATTATTTTCATCTCCTTAGACTTACATTTTTTTCCCATTACAAATACTTCTGTGAAATGGTCACTTCTGGGGACTATTTTTTCCATCTTTCCCTTGTCTTACGCTTTCCACAAGGGGTTATATATCTGACTAGTGCTGTTATTAATGCACATATATAAAGTTTATTTGTTTTAGCTTATCCAAAAGGTAGACAAAACAATCTTAGCATTCCCTTACTATCATTTTTCAGTCTTGCTGTCCTCCACCTAGTGAGAAAAATGGGATAGCTACCATATCAATGTGTGTGGGTTGCTTTTTTTTCCACAATGACTCAGCATAGCAGCTGTATTCCCCAAGATGCATTGTTGGATGGAGAGGGACAATACTAAGTGGCCTTGTATTGTTTTCCTATTGCCTATATCCTCAACTCCTTCATCACTGCTTTACTTTATAGCAGTTTTGCAATGTGGGTTGCTGCATTGTCTTCAAAGTGTTTAGCCCTGAGTGCTCTGACCAAATTCCTGTTTCCTCTCACATACTTCATGCATCTTGTTGTCTCTGGAAAGCTAAACCTCATTGGCTTTGTCACCCATATACTGCTGAAAGAGTTTACTTCCTTGCCAGGTTCAGTTTCTCTGTTTTGCTGCTTTACATAGTGTTGGCTGGATGGAAGAGTCCAGAATCTGGTCCTGATTTCCTGTGGTTCTTTTGTGGCCCTTTGTGCACAGCAAATGAGGGAACTCTGGGGGATCCTTATCATGTTGGCTGCTCATGGTCTAAACCTGAATTTGGCTCTTGGCTGGATTAGGCATGTGGTATAGTTGTTTGGCCTCCTGCCTTTTTCTCAGTGGTTCTTAGGCAGTGTTTGAGCACCATCAGCAGAAAGCCTTCAGTGTACTTGTACCTAGGGGAGAAAACTAGGCTTTTCAAGTGTCGGTCTGTTTTTATTCTTAAATAGGCATTTAAAAAGGAATGGTTCATCTGACCTATGAGATGCTTGCTTCCCTTTACTGGCTATATGGGGATGCTACATCTGCTATAGCAAGTGCTCCACAAAGGTGGAGTCCTAATGTTTCTTTGATACTGAAGTCTGGTAGAGGCACACAATTGTAGGGTATATTACATGAATCTGAAGGTTTATACCCGGAGGATATAACGTTTCTATCTGCAGGATTTCCAAAGTATGATTTGCCCCAGAACACTAGCAAGGTTGGATCATCTGGGTCATGATACATTTGCCCCTTCCCTACATTACCAATTATACTCCAAAAAACCCAAGAAAACCCCAACCTGTTTGTTCCTCTGCAGGAAGCAAGATCAATGGACAAGACAACAAATCAGAAATAATAAGGATGACCCATTTTGGAGGCATGCTGGCTATATTATTGCACAGTTGGATGGTCTGTACATGGGAGCCCTCGAGTGGGCTAAACTGCATAAACAAACAGTAAGATGACTGCATCTCTTTTTCAGTAGCTGGGGATGGGATGTCAGTGGACAAACATGGGAGAAGGGAATCTGCTGTTTAAAAATAAAAAACAAAAGTAGGATACTTAGTGGCAAGTACTCATTCTGCATGCCATTCTATAAAATCTCCAGTGGCTGTTCCATGTAGGTAATGTGACTGAGCACTTGGGTCATGTCACCACAGATCCTGTGCAGTGGACTTGGAACCCTGAGAGCTGATGTGCTGATTAGGTTGGGAGTGGCTTTCATATCTGTCTGAATGTTGGAAGGACAGATACTTCTGAAGTGCTTGCTGCTGTCACTTTACAGTTGTTACAAATGACCCTCTAGGTGTAAAGAATACGTGCAACAACATGAATCAGTATGTGAGGAGAGTATTAAATCTTTCATTCTTATTTCCAAGCATCAGATTTCAAATCCTAAACACCTCTCTGTTTTAGAGTATGTTTCACATTGCTTCTCTTCTCCAGTGTCCTCTTTTCTGTCTTTTAAGTGTCCAAAACACATGGTTGCAAAATCCAGTTTGTTTGGTGCTGGTTTGTTGTTAGGGTTGTTTTGATTCTTTTTTGTTTCCTTGAAGTTCGGTTAGAATTGTGTTCCTGATCATCAGCTTATATGTAATAGCAAAGCTCCCTTAGCTCTAGTAGAGCTATGGCAGTTATAATGTTGTCCTAAAGTCTAATGTCCAACATGATTTTCAATGTGAGAGGGAGGACTTGAGTAATTGTAGTTGACCCTCTTTGTCTAGGTTTACACACAACAAGAATTTTGAGAAGCTGGGAGTCCTGAATTATAAACAATGGCATTTTAGTATAAAGTACATCTTTCTTGCCCAGAATTTACTTTGGGCCTTTCATGAATGGGGAAACCAGCTCAAACTGAGGGAGGGGAAAAAAAACAAGGGCATGTTTGCAACAATGATCCATCCTGAGAGACCTGATTATAGGGGAAAATACTAGAAACTTTGACTTTCTAGGAAAAGAGCTCATTAAATCCCTCTCGTAACACCTGTATCTGAAGAGTCCTGCAAAACTTACCCTTTTTTTTGGCTGCTTTAGAATCATGTAGATTCAGATGGTGGGAGGGGAAAGTGCTAGTTTGTCTGAGCTATTTCTTTGTAATAGGCATGTCCTACCTGCAAGGTGTGTTCCCTGATGCCTATTTAACTGTGAAGTTGATACTAAAAAGCACTGACCTCTGAAGTGTCTGTAATTTTTATGCTCTGTTTAAGGATCTCATCAGCCTGTATAAATATGGTACATCTAGTGCAAGTTCAGATATGTGGTTCAGGCTGAAATATTTGTGTCCTCTATTCCAGAATTTATATGCAGGGCATGTATTTTTTCTTTCCCCAAATGTGTCTGAAGCAGTTGGTGAGATTTATTTGACTCTTCCCTATGCAAGTCATAATTTTAGCTTTGGACATTATCAGCTATGCTGAGATCTCTATATTTTTATTCAAAGCAAAAATGTTTCCTGTGTACGCATTTCTCACTTGAGATGGTGCTGCTGTTTCCTCTATTTGCCAGAGCCAGTAAATTAGCCACAGTGTCTTACCTTTTTGAGTACATTTTAGACAGCTGCTCTTGCACCTAGTGGCTTGGTTTTCCTTGGCTTCAAAATGATACCTGACAGCTTTGCAAAAGTACAGGCAGTTCACTTAGTTGGATACCATAACTTTTGGGAGATTAGTCTACAACAGTGCTATGTGTTTATGTATTTATTGCTGTTAGGATCTCCTTCAGGAAATAAAGAGCTTCAAGACTGTTGCACCAAGCTTACATGGACACTAAAAAGAGGTTCAGGTGCAAAGTTCCTGACTGGTATTCTAGCTTTGACACATCCATTTATCTGAGAATCAACCCAGCTTCAGTAAACTGTTGGCACTTGAAAACCCTGACTAAACTGACAAACAAAACAAACAAACAAACAAGACCAAAACTATCTCCCTTATTCCTTGTGATTTAAGAAATCTGCCATCCAAAGAGACTGTTTCAACTTTTCCAGTATATATAAGAATGTTTAAACAGTTCTTTTATTTAATCCTTTACTTTAGATTGTTAGTAAGTGGAATTTTTGGCAAATAAATTCACCTAACAGATTTTATTTTTTAAACTTATTTTTAAGTAATGCACTTTGGTTCAATTAATCCAATTATTTTGATCTTTCCTTGGGCAGCAACTGCAGTAACAAGTATTCACTATTTGTTAGTCAGTTCTTACTTTAAAAAAATGCTTGAAGAAACTTATTACTGAGAGTCTCCCTAACAAATTCTGCACATTTTTAAAAGCGAATCTCATTCCTGTTGCATGTTTTCCTTAGTGCTTTGAAAGTCTCTTCTTACCTCTTTCCTTTGATAGATATTACTTTTGTTTTATTAAAATAATAATAATTGTATTTATTGTCTTAGGATTATCATCATCAGGAACAAATTTCTTTTGGTCTCTAGTAGTGCAGTAGTTTGGATTTGTGGTGGTAATGAACATTAGAAATATTAAAAATAACTTATGCGTGAATTGTGGTGGTTTTAATTTCCTTTTTTTACCCATACTTAAACAAAACAAAAGAAACCCCAGAAGACCCAACTGAAACAAAGCCAAAACCCTCCATGTGACAGTCTGTATTTTGTTGCCTGATGTTCTACCTGCTATTGCCAAAGACTATGTGTACTTCTAAATTCAACTGATTACTCTGTACGTGCAGAGGGTAATTACTCCGACTGCCCTAAACTTAAAAGAAAAATGCTGAAGCTTTTTCCCCTTAAATCCCACAATATCAGAAACATGAGAAAGAGAAGGGGAGGAGGAGATATATTTTGAAATCCTTACATTACCCCCCTCCGTAAATGATCCTACATGGACAAATTGCTCTCCTGAACACTGAGAAGTTGGTTGCTGATAAGAATAAGCTAAAAGAAATAAAGGGGATAAAGAAAAGGAACCAGGTTTACAAAGTCTGTGGATTTTAAAGCTGAGTGCTGGGTAAAGTTGTACAAGATTATTTCCTTTCCAGGAGAATGGAAACAAGCTGTTTCAATAACTAGTCTACTTTTGACTGCATATATTCAAAGTTTCAAGCACTACACATAACCTTTCCGAACGTGCAGGTAGTCGGAATTTCACATTTAGTGGATTAGTTGTTGTGTGCTTACTGAGGAAGACAAGTGAAGGGTTTGACTTTCTGTTGTCTGGTACAAGGCATGGTAATTTGAAACTATGGATATCCACATAGTGCTTAAATGAGAGTTGGATTATGTGTCCACAAGTCACTCTGAAATGTTCAGTTTTTCTGCCCTCTCCTAAACTTCAGGTCTACTTCACTTGAATATTTTAGAACCATTGTGTCTGCCACAAATAACTGAGCCTTACTGCAGAAAGAAAATTGGGGTTGGACTCTGAACTGTTTGATAGTAGTACTGGTACATATTTTCCTTTATTATTCTTTATGAAGCCAATGTTTTGTAGTGTACAGTTCTAAACTTTTTTATTGCATGGAGGCTGTTCTCCCACAGGGCTGGTTTAGGTAGGTGCTTCCATCGAGAGCTGCATGAAGGCAATGTACATTGTACACTTCTGTATTTTGAATGTGATTGATATTTACAGGTATCATTAAGAATGATGTCCAAATCTGAATACATTTTCATGTTAAAGTGTGGCATTATTCCATCTGGTTTAGCAACATTTTATATCTAGTAAACAAACCCAACCCTTTTGTCAAGACAATTTCTGAAGGAGGGGCACTCAAAGAACATTAAGCCTTTTCATCTGCCTGATGCTCTAGCAACGCTGTGATTAATCTTGGGCTTGTCTACACATGGAAATTACTCTTGAATAAGGAGGTGTCAGAGTTTTAAACACTACACTAACTCCAGGATAGCTCTCTATTTGTACTTCCTTATGTTGTATTGAGAATGCTCATGCATGGGGAAGTTACTAGAAAACAATTGTTACAGAATAACTTGTCTATTTCAATGTCCCATGTAGACAAGCCTTTAGGGCTCGTTCTTTCCTCTCTACTGCCCTTTCTAAGTTTCTCCCTACTGCTAATGTAACTCAAAGGCAGATTGAGGTGGGGTTTTTGTTTGTTTGTTTATGTTTTTGTTTTGCTTTGCTCTAGGGACAGTACCCTAGAGGAGCCACACATTCTAGCAAAAGGACTTACTTTCGTTGTGACTGTACCACCCCTCTGCTTGTCCATTTAGCTCATTCATTCACTCTTCTTCAGGATGTAAACCATGTGTGCCAGGAGTTTTCCTGACATTGCTGTGTGAGATAGGAGAAGGTGATTACAAAAGATTGTAATGTGCCCTATCTTATGCACTTGTTATGATGCACACATTTTTGGGTCTAATTCTTGCTAGTGGACACTGATTAACTCCTCATAGAGAAGATTTTTTTTTCATATACCCTGAAATTCAGCTGGCATTTTTCCAAAACTGGGGCTCTCAGCCTTGTGACAGATGCCTTGGACCACTCCTGAAATTCCCACATTTGGCCTGCATTACAGGTGCCTGTGTCTTCTGTTTGAATATGTTGTTTCACTGAGACTCCAGAGAAGCTTGGTGCACTGTGCTTGTGTCGTGTCATTGAGCATCAGACTGTCTCACACACAAAACCAGGCTTAGGCAAGCAATATAATGAATTCTTGGAGATAAACTGGAACAAAATTGCTTGGCCCTCAAGAGGGGAATGAAAACAGAACCCTAATGGGTACTTAGCAGCCTAGTTCCTCCTTTACTTCTCTGATATGTTGTCTGGCTTTGGCAGCTGGCAGCCTAATCTCACCCAGTGGAGCCCTAGGCATTTGCATAACCTGTGCTTTGTTTGAGTGGGTCTTTCCTCCTGCTCTCTGGCCACCCTTCTGTGCGTGTCATTCTGTTAGCTTCCTTGCTTGGCACTTTTGTTCTAACTTGAATGGACTTCCTAGTAACAGAAATTTTGACTTAAAGTCAATTAAAATGTCTTAGGGCTGGCTGAGCATTCTCAAATGCAAAGCTGTTTGCTCCCTTCCTGTACAGTAATGCCTGTGTGAATCAGACACTGGAAACCAGCTTCTCCTTACTGTGTGGTGGACTCACAGACTTTCAATGCAGATGGATGGGGAAAAATTGTGCTGAAACAGTGCCAAGGCTCTCTATATGGATTCCCATGAGACAGAAGTTGTTGGGATTAGTTTGTAAATGATACTGCTGAGTTGCTTAGAACTATCCAAACATACCTCACTTTATGTTGCTTCCTGTTTGGATCCTTACAGCAAAAGCATGATGAACTAAAGCAATGTAACATATATGAAAGTTTGCTTTGGATTTCTTCCTCAAACTATAGCTGTTGTTGGGGCCTTCTGCTGTGAATGATTTTAGTTATGAGAAGGGCTTATTTCTCTTATTGGTAAGCATTGTGGGAAGGTTTAATTCCTTCCCATGAGATATATGGACTGGAGTTTACATTATTTCTGGGTTTCCTGTTGGTTATTCTCTCTGCCAAAACAGCTAATGGATAACACAGAATTCAGCCTTCTGAGTAAAACGTAAGTGGATTTGGCACTGTTTGCTTTTTCCATACCCTTGTCTCCCATTTACTGGGGTTTGTGGAGAGGTCAGCTATATGGTTTTAATAACTGTGATTTATATTGCAGGCATGTGTTTCTTTGCTGTATGATTATGTGCCATTCTGAAATTCATATTCACATCTCTACAGTGATGTGTGTTCTGTCTTCATTTCCTTAAGCCTTGCCTCAACTAAAGGCATGGTGCAAGCAAGAACAGGAAAGATTTAGAAAAAGGTCTTTGAAGGTTGAGGTTAAACCACTCTTAAGTTCTTATTTTTGAAGAAGAGGTTCTAAAGGGCACATTGCACAAACAGCCATGGGTAGTTAACCCTGTTAAGCCTGGCTAGCTCCAACCATAAGTTTTCAAAAGCACATAGCAGAGTGCCTTTTGACTGACTTCCCTTCTTCAGGTAGTTCCAGATGTGGTTGGTATTGTTAACACATCTTGCTTCCCTCATTTGTTTCCTCCTCAGTCCTGAGCATATCTTAAATTGTGGTCTTTACAAAAATCTGATAATTTCCAAGAGCATTTGTTAGTGTAAGGCTCTTCAAAAGCATCTAGATAAACAAATAAAAAACTAAAACCTTACTCTTACCCCAGTGTAACAGTAACACCAGGCTGATTGGTGTGCTGTTTGCAAAGACACAAGTTTCATAAGTTTATAGCTGTGTCTCCATTTTTTTCATCTGAAATGATGGCATTGGTAATGCCACTACAAGGGCCAGACCTGTAAGGATTCCTAGGTGCCTAGTGCCACACTGAGTTTGAGCATCTGGGCCTTGTGAGCAGGCACTTCATAGACCGTTTCTGTTGAAACCAAAAGAAAAATTCTAATGACTGAGTCTGTCTTGCTGCTTCTCTGTCTCAAAATGCTTTTTGTGCTCTCTTTTTCACCCTTTCCTCAGCCACTGAGCAACTTTGATGTCCAGTTTCTGAATGCAGTTGGAGACCTGTTGGACCTCATTCCTGCATTATTTGAGTATTCTGCACGGGGTGGACAGTGCAACGTGGAGCCAGGAAGCCATGGGAAATATCAGTGGGATATGGGACACTGCTCTGCACTCATCAAGGTGAGCACCAAAAACTTCATCTCCAGTGACTGTTGATTTGCAGTCATGAGTCTGCATTTCTGGATTCTTCCCTGTTTATGTTGCCTGTGCATAAAGAGACTTCTGTTGATGATCAAGATGCTTTTATACAGTTGTCATTTGTGCCTTCATAGGATTTTGAGTCCAGTTTTGTTCACTTGTGTTCAAGGGTAGGGAAAAGACCTAACCAAACCAAAACCACAGCGCTGGACAGTGAAAAGTTACTGGAATTACTAGAGAGTGAGGGCCTACTATGGAGAGGAGCCTGGAAGAGTAACCTGTTTCACCTAGCCAAGTGAAGTCTGAAAGAGAGTATTGTGAAAGAGTACAGATACATTGGGCAAATAAGCAGGGAGAAAGGGAAAAGGATTATTCTAAACTAAAGGACAGTACTAACATGAAAACAAATGGGTCCAAATGGCTGGTATTTTCTGTTAACAGTGATACTCTGGAATGCCTTTCCAATGGGAGTGATAACAGAAGAAAACCCCACAGCATTTTTAAGATAAATGTCTGATATGTCATGGTGGCAATTACATTTTTCAGTTAAAATGATCAAAGATTTAATCAGCATATGGAGACTCCATGTATTGCAGAACAATGATATTCACCTTAAAATGAAAAACATTCGTTCAAGCATTTGTCTACAGCAAGAGGTTTCTGAACTAACTAATCTTAGAACCAGGGAAATATTTTGAAAATATGTACTATCAATATAGTTATATTTACCTTTTCAAATTAAAGTATAGAAGCAAATGCAAGTAAATTCAAAGTGAACCAGAGCCCTTTTTAAGTTAATGTTGGATATATTTGCAAAGATCTGATTGAATGTGTAAATACAAGTATCCAGAATGAAACTGGGGAAAAAAAACAACGTAGTGTGTGATGCAAGTGTCCCAAAAAATCTTAAGCTGTTTCATTTTGAAAACAATATATGGGCAAGAATTGTTTCCACAGGTTTCAGAAATTCATTAAGTACACAGTTAAAAGCACAAGAATCTGCTCTTTCTCCAACAATGCAATTAATCAAACTACTTAAAACAAGTTGTTCTCCCAGTTTCTGTCAAGTATAAAAGAATGCAGAGTATAGTGGGGTCCAAAATTATTCATCTTTCTGCTTCTGTTTTCCAGGTTCTACCTGGATATGAGAATATATATTTTGCCCATTCCAGCTGGTTTACTTACGCAGCCACACTGAGAATATATAAGCATTGGAACTTCAATATAGTTGATCCATACACTAGCACCAGCCGTGTCTCATTCAGCAGTTACCCAGGTAAAGTCAAGAAAACCAAACCAATGTAGATATGCAATATGGCATGGACCACCTTAACGGTCTTGCAGATGTCTTGCCTATGAGAAGGATGATATCTCAACAAGCACTGGCTTCAATCTAACTTAAAACTTTTAGCCACTGAGAGAACAAAATGCTGTCTTCAATTTTCTGGCTTGAACATGATATTGTTGTGATTGTCTGTTTGTTGATTAATCACCTTCAGTGTTCTGAATAGTACTAGTTAAATATTCTACCCCTGGCACAAGCATGCTGCTTTGAACTCTGCTCATGTAATCTGCAGTCATCTCAAGTGTTGAACTCTTCACCTTGCCTATAGCACTTGCATGTTTGGTAATAACAGTTTTGAACGCTTCTGTTTACAGCTGTGACATGACTGTGCTGTAATGGGATTATTAGCGAGTATCACACAATAGCTGTTTGGAGTTGTATCGGCCCCTTTCATGTTGGGTTAACAAACCTGCAGTTGGGTTGTTGTGTTGTTTTTTACCCTACACATCTTCCTCTTCCAGTTTCTCTATAGGCTGTTGCAGAGGGGAGTGGGGTTTTTTTATGCTTGGTTTATGTGTTAGTAGTATAGCCAGCCAGAATTTTTAAAATCTCCCTTGGGAAGATTAGGCCAAATGTTAGATATTGCCAGCAGTTAATATTTTGGTGGGAAAATATGTACTCTTGCTAGAGTAGCACCAGGAAATGTGAGTGTGAAAAATCAAGGCAAATCTATGACTCCCTCTTAGAGTTACTGTTGCTTAAGTTTGTAAAGGTGAAGTTTGAAATTCAAAAGCACCCAAACACTCAAGAATCTTCATAAACCTTTTTAAGTAAAGGATGTGCCATAGGAGGTGGTCTCATTCTGGTTGATCATTTCAAATCCTGCTTTGTTGAGTTACTCTGCCTTATGACAAGGTAAGTCAAGGCTCCTTCATGGCAGGGACTCACAGAGACTGAGAGCTGGGGAACGGTTCTGAAAAGCGTTGCATTCATTTCACATTGAAAACAAGCCTTTTGCTGTGGGGTTCTGACCCTCCTCAGTGACCCTCAGGAACACAGCGCTTTCTGACAACGGAGGTTTTTAATTTGAGGAAGGACTGGACGTATTCTGGCGAATGTCTGTTAGGTGTATGGCCTTTCAAGACCTTGGGTTATCTCTGATTGCCTCAGAGGAATTCTGCTTGGTTGTTGCAAGGAATTTTGCCAAGCCTGTGCAACCTGGTAGGAAGCCAAGTTTTCTGTCTGAGCTCTGTTCATCACCTGAATGTTCACAAGGTCATTTTGACTCTCAGAAGTATCTCTCTCAGAAGAAATACTTAGGATAGTACTATCCTTCAGGAGAATGTGGCTCTATTGTGTGTTGCATTGTGCTGCAGATTCAGGATCAGCCACGCAGAGCGTTTATTTTTTTATTTTTAGTGGGTATCTGTGGTGATGTCTTTGTGTTGGTCTTTTTGTGGATTCTTTGTATAAAGTGAAATACAAGTATTCTGTTTTGAGCATTATGTATGGGAGGATACCTGAAAATCAGCTGCTACTTTGCTGAAATGGTTGGGGTCTGTTCACCTGTGTACAAAATCCCAGTGTGCTTCCCTGGGGCTGTTGAGGTCTGCAGGGATGGCTTATTTTTAAGCCATGTAGACTCTGACACAGTGATGTGGAAAGGTGTACTTCTACCAACAAAAAACTAAGATAAAACTGCTGCAAAATGTCGTTCCCATGGCTACAGCGAAGTTTGAGAGAGCTGTGGTATGCAAAGTGTGCTCACTGACCTTCTGATTACAGGGAACTATCACAAGCACTAGACAAGCATGGTCCATTGACTACAGCAAATTGCATTAGCTGTGGGTGTAGTTCACAGACTTGCAGTTTTCCAGGGGTTGAGTAAGCTCTAAAGCACTGGCCTAGTAATGATCTGGGGACATCACATAGGAAGGAGGGAACTGCCAAATTCTTCTGCTCCATGTTATGATGAGATGATATTTTCGGACCATCTGACTGTGGAATCTGCAGGTCCTGGCTACAGCTCAACTGGTTGATTGTAACTTCTCCCTGCATGCAAGTTCCTGCTCTTAACTCTTATTCTCCATCCTGACACTGAGAACCAGTAAGAAAGGCCAACATAGTAAGCTCTCCTGAATAGTAATATGGTCCTAATGAACCTAGAAGTATTGGCTTTGGAGGAAACAGCATTAAAGTCAGGTATCTTTCCAGGCCTTTAGTGACACTTAATTGAGTAATTCAAAGATTCCTGTCATCCAGTAGACTGGACATAAAATAAAAATCTACTGCTGTCCTAAAGCTGTGTCAGAAAAACTTCAAGGAGTCATTTTCCTTCTGAGAAGCAATGTGCCAAATCCCTGATTTCTCATGGGGTCACAGACTAAAATTGTTTATATTATTTTTGTTTATTTACTGAATTTCAAAATACAGGCTGCAAGACTGCAGAAATTATCTGTCATGACTCAGTTTAGAAGCTGTAAGACTACTGACTAATCATGATGTGTGTCAGCATGTGGATTGTGGTACAGCTAGAGGGCTTTGTGCTTCCTCACTCCTGCTGTGACTGGGCAGGTAGGAGGATGGACAGGAATTGCAGAGTCCATGCCAGCTTCCCCAGCAGTTATCCACGCTTCTGCCAGCATGCTCAAATGTCCACTGTTGACAGCATGTCTTCTCTTTGCTGCTTTCTCCCCTTCAGAGCAGCAGTAGTGCTGCAGAGGCACTGTCGAGTTTTTTCTTCACTTGCTGCTCATCTCCACACTAACCCACCCTAATCCTCACTTGAACTCTGCTCATAGTCTTGCCTTCATCTTATCTTGAAAGCATCAGTGCAGAGCTGCATGTAGGACAGCTCTGTGAACCTTTGGGAAGGAGGAATGTCTCTGAGTTGAATGCTTGAGCACCCCTGACTTCAGTGTCTTCTTCAAGCTCTAGACATTAAGTACCTCGTGCGGCTGGTGGGTCTATGCATTGCAGAGAGAACTTAAATTGTACAGATACATTACTATTGCTCACAAGTGCTGAGTGAAGCTGTGCTATTTTGAGGGAGTAAGAAGTGTGATAATAGAAACAAGGTAGGTGCCATGTTTTGCACCACATATGTAGTAAAAGACCAGCAAGAAAGCTGCACTCGCCCTCCCTCCAGTCACTTCTTGACATTGCCCCACTGAGGCTTTCAAAGAAATGAGCACAACTAACTGATAAAATTTATGGTTTTCCTTGGATAGCAGGGGAGGTTGCAGCTCCCAAGATTTCCATCCATTTGGTTTTGAACTCCATTTAAGAAAGGGAATCTACCATTTTGACCTAGGCACTGGTTTGGGTAGTGAACTGCCTTCTCCTGTGTGAGCCACAGTCTTTTAAAGTATGTTATTCTGATTTTGGCAGTTTGAGGAGAACTCTACCACTACCTTTGCTCCTCTGGTCTGCTGTCAGGGCCTTGCTTTGTTGAGACAGGCTATGGACATGGGAATAAGATGACACAAGTTGTCTTGATGAATGGCCACACAGGTGCTGTTAAGTTGAGAAAGAGAAGTAGTATGTGTTGCTTGCTTTGAAGTAACCTGGTGTTAGTGCAGAATCGGAAAGTGCAGCATTATCCTTCCCCACAGCCTGAGCAAGAGCTAGGAGGAGCAAACCATGGAAAGGGCAGTAGCCCTTGTACTCAGAGGACCAACTTGCTTATGATGTATTGTCAGACCATTTCTTGCTTTGCTGCTTCTTCCGACATCTGTCTAAAATCCGGAGGGAAGCAGAGGAAAGTGTCTGATGAACTTTGGAGATGAGAGATCAGAGGTATAGTGTAGGGCATTTCTTAGTGCCTAGGAGAGATCTGCAAGTGGAAGAAAGGCAGCTGGCAAGGAGTTCAGTCTTGATATGAGTAGCAGCTGCTGATAGGATTAAGAAAGCTAGTCCAGAGAATACTTTCCCATAGTCAGGTGTGTTTATAGACCAGAACATTGAGCATCCCAGCGGGAGCTACTCCTATCCCTGTGAGGTGGGCTAGACTTCATGTCTCTGACTTCCAGCCTGTATTACTGACCCTTTTTGTACTTAAACAAGCACAATGACCTTTTGAAACACCAAAATAGCTGATGCTGTCTGGTTCAGAAAGCAGCAGCCTACCTTTTTAGGAACAATAGCTGCCAGGAACATGTTAAAACCCACTTGCTCTTTGATGTGCTGGCTTTCTGGAGTACACTGTGGCCTGGATTGCAAAAAATATTTTGGCTTTGCTTTGGCTTTGATTAATATCATTGTGATGAATGAAACTCTGGAAACTTCAGCTTTTCAGTGGTGATTGGAAACTGAATCTAAATAGCTCAGACCCAGATGTGCAATCAGAAGTGCTTTTGCTTGTTTTTATGTAGGAAGAGTCAAGTTCATTGGAGGGAGGGGTGAAAAAAAAAAATTGAGTGTTGCTCACAAAAATGGGAGATGGGTTTACAGAGATGGTTTTACAGCAAAAAAAAAGGTGAACAGTACAGTGAAATAACATTTTCATTTACAGCAGATTCTCATACATACTGAAAAACACAAGAATGACACAAGAGGACGTCAAATATCTTCTGATATCTGTAGACTTCAGCCAGGTTTTATTTTTGTGAATGCCTTTGCTCTGGGTAAATGTGTTGCTTGTGTTTTTAGTTTCCCTTTGTTTCAGGTGTGCCTGTGCCTTAAATCAAAATGGTATATGCCATCTTGGAATTATTAGGCTAGTAATGGTGTATCACAGAGGGCATGTTGTGTTGTAAAACACTGCAGAAGGAAACTTAGTAAATACTAAGGGCCAGAAGGAAATCCACTTGTTTTCATCTTAGCTGAGCTTTGCAGTTTATTTGAATTACAGGATTCAAACTTCAGTTAATTCAGCATCATTCCTTGTGTTGACACTTGCTTTGAGTCAAATTTTTCTGTTTTATCTCAGCTGTTGTTTGAAAATGAAGAAAAAAACTATTTGGTTTAATTTGAACTAGGGCATTTGATGTTGTCACCAACATGGGAATTGGTATTCAGATCACAATTGTTGAACAATTTCTTTTCTTGTCTCTTGTCTCTTATAACTTGACTTATTCTAAAACTGTTTATTGCTGTAATACCCCATATCTTTGTCTAAAAAAAGGCTGGCAGAGCCAGGTTTAGAGGGTTTCTCTTGTCCTTACTTATTTGAGAGAGATCTTTGCTGTTGATGTACATAATTTATGGACAATATTTTTCTCTCTTCAAGAATAAAGTACCAGCTACCAGGGTGCTCTGTCTGCGCTATACTGGTATATTTTTAGAGAACAGGTGACCACAAATTATATTTTCCTTGATCTGTTATAATTTGAGAACTTGAAAGTTAAAAGAAATTTTGTTGAAATGAAGTCCTTAAACATTACTTTTGCTTGAAGGAGAACTGCCCTTTAATAAAAACCCAGAAATAAGAGGCAGAGCTGTTTTGTCGTTCCTGCTGTCATAGGTTGGTGACCTTTGTTTGCAGAGTGCATTAATAAAGCTTGATGTAGAAGATTTCATAGTGGAACTCAGCTATTATGGTGTTGCACAGCATTTTAGCTTTTTGTACTATTTGAAGACTCATACTGTTAAAAACTTATTAACAAGAGTCCAGGTTCTGGATGACTTCCCCATCAGGAGCTCAGTTAACAAGCTTTCTTCCCCAGCTGGGCAGCTGAGTAATCTCAAAGTCAAGTTATTTCTGCTTTGCAAGCAGTCACCATGCTATTCAAGGCATTATAGCTGACCTGTGTGGTTCTGTATGCCCACTCCTGGCGTGGGATCTGCAATTGGACATAGTACTTCTGTTGACATGTAACCTGGAAGGGAATCTTGCCCAGAGATCCATCACTGTTGACTTTGCAGAGCTGGTAGGCATAAAAAACCCCAATGACCATGTCGGAAAGAGGAGTAGGTAGAGCTTCCTCTCATAGGCAGGATGTGGTTTATGATATAAGAGATGCCCTTTTCATGGAGATACTTTTAAAAATATCTATAGACTGGAAAAGATTAAACTAGAAGGAAGATTTTGCTGCTTGGCTTGATTTAATACATAAGGGATTGACTTAAAGGGATTAATTCAAATTAATTCATTTCTGTTGTCTTTACTGAGTAAAAATCTAAAACTGAAAGTGATTGATGAAAATATCTTTGTGGAATTTGTACTTTGCTTTGGTTTTCATTGTTGAAGTTTTTTTTTTTTGCTAGAAACACTCACTAGGCATTTACATTGTGTAATCCTCAGCATAAGAGTAAGACATAGCTTAACATATGGAGAAACTTCTAAGCTTGACATGCAAACACAAAGCAAATGCTCTAGACAAAGAATCAGGTGTGTTGAAAGCATGACAGTTTCACATTTCAAACTGTGTTGACAGGTTTCTTGCAGAAGTTACCACTTCATTTTCAGTCTTTGTACAGTTTGATTTCAAACACACATGCATTAACTCATTCATACCCTCTTGGCTTGTCTCTCTGTTTTGTTCTATGAGTATAAATCAAAGGTTCACAAAGATAACAAATTTTGTGTTATTGCTGTTTAAGGCTTTTTGGTGTCCCTGGATGACTTTTACATACTAGGCAGCGGCTTGGTAATGCTGCAGACTACCAACAGTGTGTTCAACCAAACCCTCATTAAGCAAGTGGTGCCTGAATCCCTGTTAGCCTGGCAGAGGGTTCGCATTGCTAACATGATGGCAAACGATGGCAAAACTTGGGCAGAAACCTTCTCCAAGTGCAACTCTGGTAAGCACACTTTCATATGAATATTAGGAAAAAGAATGTGTTTCCCTTACCTCTTGTACTCTCTACCTTCCCCTAGTAGAACATGTAACTCTCTTTCCTCTCATATCCAGGGACCTACAACAATCAGTACATGGTGCTAGACCTGAAGAAGGTCAAGCTGCAGAGGAGCCTTGATGATGGTGCATTGTACATTGTTGAGCAGATCCCAACCCTTGTGGAGTATTCTGATCAAACACATGTTCTCCGGAAAGGTAATAGCTCCTGTAGTAGTTACTGGCTTAGGAAAGCCATCTCTTTGTGCCAACTGATGGAGAATTGTGCTTCATACCTGGGAAGGGTTTATTGAACAAGTTTTTCTGAGTTTCGAGTAAGATAGCCTTGTATGAGCATCCCTTTCTTGACAGGTCTGTTGTGTTGTATTCATTTTTCCTGTATGCTGTGGCAGAGACATGGTGAGCATCTGTATTTCTTAGAAGTAAAGGAGAGAAGAACAGACTTTGCCTCTTTGCTTACTTGCCTCCTTGCCTTTTTTCTGGTATTATTTTGCCCTGTCCTAGGAAAAAGATGAGATCCATTAGAAGCAGTACTAAACTCTGATACTGTGGGTTACTTGAGATGTTTGGTGAGGGGTCACCCTACAGGAGGGTGAGCTTTTGAATTCAAAAGAAGTTCTTTGTTAGGTTCATCTCCTGAGCTTTTCTGGAGCTCTGTTTTCTGATAGATATCTGCTCTTTAAAAGATTCTTTAATTCCCTAGCAAGACTAGCAACAACTTGATGGAAAACAAACAAAAATCTAGGTGAAGCAAAACACCCACAGGCAGGTTTAATTCACAAGTGTTTGCTAGACACTTTTGTCAGTAACTACAGCCTGAGCCTAAAGTGTGTGTCTGGTGCTTTGTGCTCCCTCCTCTAATCACATGCTGAAGGGGTGAATTGATGAATTACATATCATCAAAATGACTGGAAATGTATTTATATTAGCAGCTGGGGTTGTTTCCCTTTGAAATTTTAACTTGTGTCTAGCTTCTCAGAAAGTTCTGGCTTATTCTAGGCATTGCCACATTGTCAGTGTGGCTTTATAAGACATTTCTTATTGATAATTTTGAAAAAATCCATGTCTCTCCCTTATGCATCTCTGGCTCAATTGGCTTCCTTTGCTTGGGGCTTCTCTGTGCTGTGTTGTGGAGCATAGTGCAGACAAACAAGCTAATAGAGACTCCCTAGCACTGGCACTTGAAACTGCACCCAGAGAGGCCAGGCTTAGCAGGTACCCTTTTCAGCAATGATTTGAGAGCTGCTGTGTGGGATTCCCTGTAGGACTGAGCCTGACTCCTGGGCTTGGGCACACAGTGACCACTTCCTCCCTCAGGAATCTTGTGGCTGCTCTGTTCTTGTAGGTGACAACGTGTATTAGAGGTGACGTATTACTGTTCATTTACAGTATGTCTTTCCCCAGATATCTGAATGCACCTTGTGTATATTGGATAACACAGCAGTTGGTCTCTGGGAGTTTTTAAACATTAGAAGGACAGCCCTCAGCACACAGGGAGGGCTAAGCACCGCTGCAATGCTGCCTTGGAGACCTCAGCTGCTGTAAGCCAACACTACTCCTCTAAGCAGCAGATCTGGATTCCTCCATGCCGTGCCGGACACCAGATGAGTCCCATCGAGGCCCTTGCCCTGTTTCTAGGTGCTTGGAGCAGCCCAGGTGAAGGAGGTTTAACTTTAACAGAGCAATGCTGTCTTAGTGTTTGTAGAGTAGCTGACCCTGGCACATTCTATCTTTGCTTTGTAGCTGCTGTCCAAAGATGATGCAGTTTTGACACTGTGGTTTAGTCAGAGTGAGTTTGCCACCAGCACTGGCTTTTAGGTCTCTTTCAAGCTTAAACCTAGAAATAGCAGAGAACGAGAATTGAAATCTCAAGTGAACAAAGGTGGGTGTTGCTGTAGAAAGCCTTGTACTGAGAAGAAAGGAAACGTTTCCTTATACAGGTTTGAAAATGGGAAGATTTTTTTCTTTATGGCTTCTGACAGCTTATTTTGTAGGCCAGTGCAGGTGGGGACTCAAAACAAGGCACCTCTTACATTGCCCTTTCCAGGCAAAGATGTCTAGGTGCTTTGTGTATGTTGACAAAGAAAACTCAGGAATCCTTTAGAGGAGGTGGGAGAGGGTCATACTGTCTCCAGTGAAGGAATAGGGCACAGAAGTGGGCTGCAGTTCATGTTTCATGATGAATAAGTAGTTGCTTTTGATTTCAGTATCAAAAGCAACACATCAGGGCAGAATCTGGGATCTCAGTGTCTTGCACCATACGTGCAATATTCTTCCTGCTCTACCTCTCAATATTGCAGAGATCTTTTTGTCGGAATGGGCAGAGGAGGAAGGCGTTTTGTTTCAGGGAATTTTTTGCTGCCTTCATGTCATCCTCCTTTCCCACCTTTCAACCTTGCGCCCTCTCTGATTTGTTTTTTATCACTGTGCACCCTGCCAGGTTTCACTGGCTTATAGCAGTCCTTGGGTAAAGGCTACCTTAGGTGGCTGCTGCACTCTCTGCATTGGATTTGCAGTCTGGCAGAGCCTGAGTCACAGAAGACCTCTTGTTGGAGGAGAACTTCAATAGCTTCCTCTGTTTCAGCAATTTTAACAAGAATTTTTTCCAGGTGGGAGAAGGGGATCATCTGTACACACTGTGTTCATGTGAGACAATAGCACTTTTCTGAATCACAACCAAACCCTACTGGTTTGGAAGCTGATGTATATCCCTTTCCTCCTGCCTGTGTCGTCAGAGGCTGGCGAGTGTGCTTATTTCTGCAGGACACCTGTTACAGCACAGCCTGTGCATGACCTTTTCCTTGAGGCAGGCTCTAGGTCACGTAAGCAAAGGCCAGCAGCCAGGGTGTTCCCATCTGCCCTATGCAGGCAGACCCAAGCTGGTAAGGCCTCTGCTCAGGCAGCATTCCAGTGCTTATGCTGTCTGCATATCCATCCTTCAGAAGTTTGTTTTTTATCTGTGTGTATTGCTCCCGGTGAGTCTCAGTGGAATTTCTTGAGCATCTTACAGCCAGACCCCTCACACTGTGCTGGGCTGATGTTAATACGTGGAGCACTGCATTTACCAGTGCCTAGAGAGGAAGGCTCTAAGTCAGATCCTGGTGCGTATGATTTGAGAAGGAGCAACAAGGAATGTTAGTGCTTTGGAGAGAATCTAAAAGTGTGCTGCTCTTGGGACTGGCTCATCTTATATACTTACTGCCCAAAATCTCCTTGGTGTCTGCCTTGAAAAAAAAAATTTTAAAAAATCAAAGATTAAGGTCTAGATATCTATTTTTATTTATTCCAGGAGTTCCTGTGCCTGGATCCTGAATGGTCTTCTGGCTCTTTACAAGTGTTTCGGCTTTCTACAGTTGTCATGTTTCAGGCAGTTTTGTCTCCTACCTAAAACTCTTCTCTGCAGTTCTGGCTGGCATCCTTTGCTCTTCAGAGTTAACCAAACTGCTGGACTCACACTTGCTGTGGGAAGAGTTAGAGCAGGGCTCTGCTCTGCTATCACTCACTTCCTAACCCTCGGAGGCGACAGCTACTGGCAAACCTGCAGCAATCCCCCCATCTTTCCTTGTCACTGTGTGCAACCACCACTGCCCAAAGCACATGTGTGCTGGCTTCCCTCCTGTTTCCCTGAGTAGCTCTGTGCTCCATGTGTGTTTGTGTGTGTCTGTCCATCCCTGACATCTTGGTGTGGTGCACTGTTCAGCTTTGGTGAGATGGGAAGGGGCAAAAAAGGGAGTGACTTCAAGCCTCTCACTGTGAAGTTTGGTGGAGATAAATGATCTGCACTTCTCTGAGGCAGAGCAGGGAAACGTGCAGGAGGGCTGTGGCTGCTCTGCATGTTCACCTCAAGTGTGATCTCAGCTGTTTTGCAGGATGAGTCCTCAGGCTGGAAGTCTGGGGGCGGGTTGCCTGGGTACAGTCTCCAGTGGTGTTATCCTGAGAGTCAACCCTGGTCATGCCAGTGGCTGTTGCCTTATTTTCTTGTGTTGAAACCAGTTTGCTGTGTTGTTCTTTGGCATACTGTTAAGGCAATGCTGTGTGGAAAATTGTTTTTCTTTTCTGATGTAAGTAAGAGCATTCAGTTTTTCACAGTGATTAACAGATTGGGGTTTGTCTCTGGCAGGTTACTGGCCTTCATACAATATCCCTTTCCATGAAAAGATTTACAATCTCAGTGGGTATGCATCATACGTTGTCAAGTATGGCATGGATTTCTCCTATGAGCTTGCTCCAAGAGCAAAAATCTTCCGTCGAGACCAAGGCAAGGTGACCAACTTGGAAAGCATGAAGTACATCATGAGATACAACAGTAAGAGATGTGTTTATGTACTGTGGAGCTGGCCTTAATTAAAGCAGTGTTACTTTTATTTCTTGGATTAGAGCTGGGAAGCTGCAGCCTCAGATATGGCTCAGTTATATTACCCTAGATGCAGAATACACAAAAAGCAAAAAGATAACACAAGCTCACTGTCAAGGTAGGAAACCAGGATAGAATTGCTCTCTCAGAGCAAGACTGAGTTCTTTCTAGAAGAAGGGCTCTTGAGCTTGCTGTTTGACCTTTCCAGAATGCTTCTGACACTCCAAAAGACTCCGTGGACTGCTATTACCTAATACATCTATAGTCTGTCAGTCTTGAAAGCCTTAAATCCTAAGTAACAGTTGAGTGAGATCAGACCAGAGAATACAGTGTAAAACTTCAGGTCTTTATTCCAAATAGTCTTTGGCAGGTGTCTTGGTTTCATCTGGGAGAGAGTTAATTTTCATAGGAGTTAGTTGTACAGTGCTGTGTTTTGGATCTAGTGTGAGAATGATGTTGATAGTTTAAGCATTGCTTAACACACTAATGTTTTAGTCAAGGACTTTTCAGTTTCCCATGCTCTGCCAGCGAGCAAATGAACAAGAAGCTGGGAGGGAGCACAGCCAGGACATCTGATCCAAGCTGGTCAGAGGGATATTCCATACCCTAAAACATCATGCTCAGTAGATAAACTGGGAGGAATTGGCTGGAAGGGGCTGATTACTGCTCAGGGGTGCACTGGGCATTGTTCACCACTTGTTTCTCTTGGGTTTTATTCCTGTCCCTTCATCTCCCTTTTCTTTATTATTTTTATTTTATTATTATTAACTTTATTTCAATTATTAAACTGTTGTTATCTCAACCTCTGGGTTTTACCTTTTTCCAATTCTTCTCCCCATCCTGTGGAGGAGGGCTGGGGAGAAGTGAGGGAGTAGCTGTTTGGTACTTAGTTGCCAGCAGGACAGTAGGTAATGCTCTGCTGATTTTTTTGTTTTCTTTTTTTTTTTCCTCTTGACAAGGTTCTTAACTGGATTAAAACCAGCTTAATTAAACTCTGGCTAGGCCCTTCTCAAAGTACAGATAGCTTTAGATATTATATTTTTATTCCCAATTATAGGCAGCGTGCTGATTACTGGGCTTGAAGTTTGGGAGGCCTCTCCCAGGGTGGGGTCTGGGTACTGTCTGGGCTGTGAGTAGCAGCATGCTCATAGATGTTGAGGCTTGTCCACCTCCCTTCCTAGCTTGCAGTGAATGTTTGAAGGGTTTGCTCCTTGCCACTTATTTTAGTCCAGAACAGGAAGACAAAGGCTCTCGCTGCTGCATTCCTCCCCCACTTCCTTCCTTGCCCCCCACTTCCCTTTCTCTTACGCTTTTCTCTCCTGAAGTTTCTACAAGCTTTCATCATGTGGCATTTCATCATGTGGAATTGCAGATGTTTGTGGTTAGAGTTTGGCAGGAGTGCCCCTGGGATGCAGAAATAGCTGTTTGGTCTTGGATTAGGTGCTTGTCTACTTGATCGCCTGTCCTGAGCACTGTCTTCTAGCTGGTACCTGGGGAAGAGCCTGTGAGCAATGCAATAAACCTGTGTTTCTGCCAGTGCACTTACTCAGCTTTTAGTGGCTCTGGTACTTTGCATCAGCTTTTTGTGCAAGGACTAATGTGGGTTTTTTTCTTCCTTACCTCCCCACCACATTTTGCCCCAGACTACCAGCGTGATCCCTATGCTGAGCACAATCCTTGCAACACCATTTGCTGCCGGGAAGACCTGAATCCTTCTCTACCAGTGCCTGCAGGCTGCTATGACTCCAAGGTAAATGACCTCGATTTCAACATCTGCTGAGTGTTTCCTCAGTCTGTTTGTGCTCCTGTCAGACCTGTGGCATGTTTCTGTGCACTAGGGCAGGCATGGCCAGGCGTGTCTGTTTCCTCTTTTCCTGTTGTCCCAGTGCTTGAGCAGATCCTCTGTTGGGAATTCTGTGCAGAGTCCTATTTCCTGTCCCTGACATCAGTCCTAGCACAGTGGCAGAGGATACAGGGAGGTGTGTGTGAAAGAAGTATGCCCACAGGAACTTCCCCAAAGTCCTGCAGCAGGAAGAGCCTAAAACAGCTGAAATGAGTCTTCACCTCACTTGGGGAAGTAACTGTTGTACACAAGCCTCATCCTTCTGTTCATGGGGACTGTGTGGGTGCTTCCACAGAGCCCACAGGAATGTGTTTTCAGTCTCATTTTGGCTCTACCCTTACAACAGCCTGGCTGTCTAGTGAGTCACCCTGCTCTAAGGCTCTACCTCTCTGTGAAACTGCTTTCTGAAAAACTTGGTGAAGACCACTTTGCATTTTAGGGGGATGTGGGAAAATCCTTGGATGCCCTGTCCTGGAGAAAGCAGCATTTTTAGGCAGGTTATATGATATTTTCACTGTGAGGGGCAATGCCTGAGTAAGCAGCTGTCCAGCCCTGGTGTGCCGGGAGGTTGTACATAATTTTACCCTGTGGGGTCCAGCCTGCTGCATTTCTGGATTAGGAGTTTGGTTGCTAGGATGGATCCTGTGGAGGCTGTTTTGGTGTTGGCAGTGCTGTGTGTCCAGGCAGCTTGCACAAGCCTGGGCCAGCTGCCTGTTGCAGTGGCCAGTGGAAGGCTCCCAGAGCTGGTTAATAGAAGAGGAATGCAGAAAAATGGCTGTGCAGAGGTATCTGGTAAGGGAGTGGGTCAGTTACATGCTGGCTGTGGTACCTTAGCCAGCACAGTTAGTCAAGGGGAATGCACTGGGCTGAGGCTGGACAGGAGACTTAAGAGGGGCATTGAGCTAGATACTCCAGAGCAGGGACAAAACCTGTTTAGTTGTAAACACTACAAGCAATTTAGGGTCTGAGTTTGGAAAGATGGAGCAGGCTGGGGACCCCTTCAGAGATAATGAAGGAACAGTGCAGAGTCTGGGCAGCAATATTAGCTCTGTGCTGCCTTTCTCCGTTCCTGAATTACCCTGACATGCCTCAAGGGACTGCCCAAGTGCTGAACATGAGCTTAGGTCAGACCCCCCCCTAGTCTGCCTGCTGCAGCCTCAGCTCTTTTGGCGACATACAAACCCAAGGAGGCCTGTCCTGAGGGCAGAACCACTGCCTCTTCCAGCCTGGCTAGTGCAAGGGCCAGAGGGCAAGCGTGGGCTAGTGCTTTGCTGCCCGTCAGCGCTGGCTGCTGTGTGGTCAAGGTGCCTCTGTGCTGGGGAGGGGGTGCTGCCCGGGCAGTATGCATTTCCCCTGCTTCCTTTACCTTATTCTTGACTTTCCTGAGCTGTTCCTGCTGTCCAGGTGGGGATGTGTCAAACATCTGAATTCCTGTGCTGTTTTCCAGGTGTCGGATTTCCGCCTGGCTGCAGCGTTCACAGCCTCTGCCATCAATGGTCCTCCCGTGCAGGGTGGGCTCCCTGTCTTCACCTGGAGAAGGTTTAACCACACGCGGCACCAGGGCCTGCCAGAGTCATACAACTTTGATTTTATCACCATGAGGCCGATCCTGTAAAACCAGCAGTAATATTCCCAAATGGATATTTTTTTAAATGGAGAATTTTGTTTCTTCTGTATAATAAATCCAACTGGATGTCACATCCCTGTGCCTTACCTGCTTTCCTGTGTCCTGCCTGCTACGTACCTCGTACTGACGTTGGCTGCTTCAATGCAGTCCAGGTCATGTTCATTTCTTCTGAGCTGTTTGTGGCCCTTCCTCTGACTAGGATTGATGGGAAGGATGCAGCACAGCTTTCTGTTGATCTGAGCCATCATCACGGGTGTTCCCAGACCAGGAGTGAAGATCAGTGCCACCAATACGAGTGATCTGTCTCTAGTAGCAACATGGGACCTGCCTCTAGGGCTGGGCCAAGCCAGGTGGGTGCTCTGGGCCTTGCCTCAGACCTGGCTTGGTCTGCCTTTTGTCTGAGCAGTGCCTGCAAGATGTGCTGCAAGTTGCTGCCCGTCCAGGAGTGTCACTAGCAGAGAGAGTCAAGGCTGTGTTCTCCGTGGCAGGTCAGTATGTTGTCTACAGGACATGACTTTCAGTGGTGCTGGCAAGATTTCCTTGGTGTGGCCAAAGCAGCTTGCAGTGAGTGGTGAGACTGCCAAAGGGGGTGAAGGGAAGCAGCCTGATGCTTTTGGAAACATGCCCCCACCTCCCTGCTCCTGCCCCAGGCTGCAGCAGAGCAGCAGGGACAGAATTGTGATGCAAGGGATCTCTTCCAAGGGATCGCTCTCTTGCAGTGGAGCAGCCCATGCACATCTTTGCCTGCTCCCTCAGCTGTGGCAGTGGAATGTGACAGTGAGATTGCAGTGAGGGCCAGGGCTGTACACATTACTCTTAGTTACCTGTGTTTACACCAAGGAGTTGAGTCACTTGGCTGTTTTGTGCTAGATTTTATACATGTAATTAAGCAAAACAAAATAAACAGCTCTTTGCTCATGTCCTTGACGGTCCAAGCTAAACAGTGCACAGCACTGCCCTGTATTCTGAAGGTGAATGATGAGCCAGTGTGAGGTGTTAATCAACCCCCTGGAGTTTAGCTTGTGTGATGGAGGAGGGAGTGAGTGAGTTACTGCAACATGGGTGAGGTTTTACCCTAAATATTTGGCTGTCACAGTAGGGCTGATTTCTGCCAAGGGAAGAGGGAGACCAGAAATGACAGCAAAGCTGTTGTTGAGGATGAACAATCCCTGCATGGACTGAAATGATTTCTTTGCTGAGGTAGAAGGAGATACGTGTGAGAGGCTGGAGAAAGAATCTCTGCCATGTGCAGAGTTAGGAGAATCATAGAATTTTAGGGGTTGGAATGGACCTTGCCGATCATCTAGTCACAACCTCCTGGCATGAGCAGGAACACCTCCTCACTCTAGACCAGGATGTTCAAGGCCTCATCCAGGCTGGCATTGAACACTGTCAGGGTCAGGGCAGCCACCACGTCCCTGGGCAACCCATGCCAGTGTCTCACTACCCTCACAGGAAAAAACATTCTCCTAATATCTAGACTAAATTTCCCCTCCTTCAACCTGAACCCATTAACCCTTGTCCTATCATTGCAGCTCCTAGCAAAGAGTCCCTCTCTAGCTCCCCTGTAGACCCTTCAGATACTGATAGGCTGCTATGAGGTCTCCATGCAGTCTTCTCTTCTCCAGGCTGAGCAGCCCCAAGTTCCTCAGCCTGTCTGCATAGGGGAGATGCTCCCAGTCCTCTTAGCAACTTCGTGGCCTCCTCTGGACTTGCTCCAACAGTTCCATGTCCTTCTTATGTTGAGAGCACCAGAACTGCATGCAGTATTCCAGGTGGGATCTCATGAGAACACTGTTTAAAATGACTGTTTGCTGAAGTACTCACCACAGACCTGCTTTTTGCTTTTCAGTACAGTCTCTTGTTGAGTGGCTCAGTTGTGGTACCTAGACAGATGCAGCCACACAGTTGTGTATGCTTTGGTGCATGTGCCAGTTGCAGTTGTGCCTGTGCTAGAGGGGGATGAATATGTGATTTTTTTTTTTTCACTGGGTGTCCAGGTGAGGAGGCTTCCCTGGTCAGAGTATTAAACACAGCATGCCCTGTTTACCCCCCCACCCCTTTTACTCCTACCCCAGAGGTTCTAGCTCCGTGAAGGTGCCTTGCTTACCTATAGTTGGGACCCTGGGCACCTTGGGCCCTGTGTTGAATGTCCTTGCCCTGAGCTCTGTGCACAGAGACCACTTCCATGTGTGGTGGTGGAGCCACTGCCACAGTTTGAATTGAACAGGCTCTAACAGGCATTAAGGAGCACACTTAAAAGAAGGAATGGAGCTGAGTCATGAAGAGCAGTGCAAGGCTTTGACCTGCCAAGCAAGCAGAGGACACAGCAACAATACAGGTTGTATTTATGGCTTTTTCACACAATCTTAGATAAAAATACTAATGGAGAAGTATTTAAAAGCTGGTCCTCAGAGATCAGGAAATTGCAACCATTGTGTTGAACAGTGTTCTTGATTCAGTGCACACCCTGCAGTGCCCACTTGGAAAAAAAGGGGAAGGTGTGCTGTGCTCTAAGCAGAGCATTTGTGGCAGAAGCTGCCTTCCCCCTCCCCCCTTTTTTCCCACTCTGGTTCCAGGTTTTTCCAGGTCCTGTGGCTTCTGACTTTTAAACTTCAGGTTTTCAGGCTTGGCTGGAGGCTTACTGGGTGGGGCGGTGTAACTGGGAGGTGCAATAATAAAGGAAACCAGACACTAGGCAATGCCTACAGAGGAAATGACTTCTCAGCAGGACCACCACAATTAGCACATCTAATGCAAGCTTTTTACTTTCCTTACCCTTTTCTGGAATCCAGTCGAAAACTCACCCCTCCTGGTTCTACTGGTCATACCTTGCCTGGCCTCAGCTCTTACAGGGGCCACAATCTGTCACAGCACACTCTTTTCTCTAACCCAAGCCAGGCTGCACAGCACTCCCTGGGGAGGAACCAACAGCGTTTCTTTGTCGGTATCCTGGTGGTGGTGTGCTGATGGGCCAGATTCCTTTGCAGCCTGCTCCTGGCTTTTTTCTTTCTTAGTTTCCTTAGTAGAAGTGTCAGTGGTTTGCAGAGGGTGCACTTTGCTGTTTGCTCTGAGGCTGTAGCACATCTTTCCAGCATTGAGCATGTGGCAGAGCCACCCTGCAGCAAAACAGTGAGTGCTCTGGCTGGTCACTGACTCGCTTCGCTTTACTCTAGCACAGACTGCAATTACAGCAGTGCCTGAGCAGAGTGGCTGTGCTATATTTGATGATAAAACTCATCTTCTAAACTATGTGCAGTATGTATACTTGGTCTAAATACGCAGTTTGAGAAACTCAGGACTTTCAAGTGGGACTGTGCTGAGGCATTACTTCACCAGTCCATCATCTAGTCAGTGACTTGAAGCAAATTTTAGTAAGCACAAGGAAACTAATTATTGCCATCACAAATTAATTACATGCCCTTGAAGTGTGTCTCAGCACTAACTCAGGGAAGGGATGTCAGTAACTGCACGTTCTAAGCAGAGCTGGGTCTGAAATGCAGCTTTTCCCATCCTGCCCCTTCTAGTCCAGCAGTTTATTGGTCCCAGCAGAGTCGCACTAATAGTTCATGGTACTGTTCTGAAGCAGCAGGGTGGGGAGTAGAGACTTTCACAATCCCTGCACTGAAACACCCTTTTTACAAGCATAGCAGCTTGCCCTCAGCTCAAGAACCATAGCCAGCTGGGTGTGCTGGGACACTGCTGCAGCGCAGGGTGCTAATTGCTGATGGTGCTGTAAAGAATCAAAGTAATCTCCAGGACTTCATCCAAAACCTGTTGCTTGGATAAACAACCATATTTTCAGGTGACATATGTGATACCTTAGAGAGAGAGGAGAGTAGCATCAGCAATTTGGTTTCCATACCTGCATCACTCGGGCGACTTTGGGGTGCAAGGTGCTCGATTCTGTCTGTCCAAGCTTTGCAGAAGATGGAAGGTGACTGTCCAGAAGGAGGGCAGTGTCTTGCAGTTGACTTCCTGGGAATGACCTGGAGCCAAACCACTGCTGCTCAGTGTTACTTGAGCGAGGTGGCAACACCTCTGCAGAGGAAAAGCATGATTTGGGCTCATTTTTGAAGGAGTTTGTCTCCTTGGGCGTCAGGAACTAAGCACAGATGACTCAAACTGTTAAAAACCCAGTATTTTATTTCAAAGTATAAATTTCAGGCTTGTCAGACAAAACCCCACTACAGTTAACACAGACACACAGACTAATCTACAATACATACAAAAATGGGGAGAGCTGGAAACTGCCCAGTTTAAATTGGACATTAAATCAGTCCTACATAATTTTTTCTTGTATTTACAAGTTCAGCCGCAAAACAAAATAAGAACTCAGATCTGGAGTTTCCCAACAAAGGATTTTGCATGTTTGACTCCCAATAGCCAATAAATCAATAAAGCTGAACAGGATGCCCCAAACAGCTACTACCCAATTATGTTATGTACAGCTACACCCCATTAAATTAAGACAGCATTTCAAATATATATATATATGTATGTATATAAAAGAGAAAAAATGCTCAGCCTGCATAATGACAATGAGAAATAAAGATGCACTTTTAACTTAGAAGGAATGAAAAGGAAAATTTATTCATTTGCTTTCTCCTAGCTATCCTTATTTTTTTCCTTCTCCCCTCAGAAGGTGTTTGGAAGGGAATCCAGATTGGTGTGGCAGGGCTGGCTCAGTGTCATTTGAACTCCTCTCCTTCCAGTGTTTTCATACAACACCCACTACACAAACCAATAAACTAAAAAAATATATATTTAATATATCAAGCCTCTATTTAAAATATCTGGATAGATATTTTTGACTAAATGAAAATACTCAAAGAATTTATAAGAAGGCAGAATCACAGCTTGATTTTGTACAGTGTATACAATACTCATCCTGGGGAATGGCTGTTTGGGGAGCAGAAACAGATGTGACTTGTCCCGACATATAATACAGATTTTAATGGATTGGACACCTAAGACAAACAGCATAAAAGAAGAGCTGCAGTGACTATTTTTGTTATAATACAAAATGGTGCTCAGATCCTACGATTGGGTCCAGTCACGCTCCCAGTGAAGGCGTGAGGGGTTTGGAGGGGTTTGGCCATCGTTTTCAAAGAAGCAGGATATGACCCATTAACTTTACAGGGACACCATGGGTGTTCAGCCTTGTGCTAAAAACCTTGAGAATAGGTGAGTGTCTCAGTGCTTGTGCTCAGTGATCGAATGTGACCAAAGGTAGCACAAATAATTCAAAGGAGCAAAGTCTAAGACCAACTGCTACTCCTGGGAAAGCTGTTCAGAGCATGGAAGTAATTACAGGCTGAGGGGACCTGCCTCTGCACCCTCATGTTTTCTGAAGCTGCCACTGCAGCCACAGTACAGATGCTATAGCTGCAGTTTGACCCTTCCTGGAGTTTAGCTACTTCTATCCAATAAAGCTTTTTAGACACACGGCAAACTAAAGGAGACCAGTGAAGCTGTAAGTAGGAGAAATGCAGTGGAAAGGAAGAGTATTTTGCCATCAGCACTCCACAGCAGGGCTCCTCTCTGAGTAGGTGAACTGAGTCAAATTACTTTCAACCTGAGCATCCAGATGCCCTTGTATCACACAGAGAAAACAAACCAAACTTAAAACACAGCAAAAAGTAAATGAGGATGGAAACCAGCTGTAGAATCAGTGCTGTGTTTGCTAAAGCATGGGGAACTAGATCCAAGGCAGTACTGCTGAAATGTCATGTACCCTGAGGCAACAGCACAACACAGAGTCAGGAACAACTTTATACCAGGGTACTGAAAGTCAGACGGAAGAACTTGCATGAAGCACAGGGAAGAAACTAAACCCAACTCTTCTCCTTAAAGGCCTTACAGAGATTTTTAGCATATTTAAAAGTGGATTATTGGAAGCCTCCAGCAACTGACACTTGAATGAAGATCCCTGTCTAGAAGGACAGTATTCACAGACCTGGGTATTTTGGTAATACTTTCAAATAAAGTCTATTAAATGAAACACATAATTTCTGAATGTGTGTTGCTAGTGGAAATTTAGTTTCTCTGTAGCTTTATTCTTTCTGGGAGGTAAAGGACAATAAAATCACCAGCCACTTCACCACAGGGGGAAAAGTGCTATGAGGTAAAGAATTAAACAATACTGTTTGTTAGCATAAGTAGTGAACACTCATTGCAGAGATCTGCTCCACCATGAAGATGAATTTGCAGAAAGTGCTAGTTCTCACTTAGGGTGTCAGTGATCTAGGGACCAGCTCCCTCACAAGTCTCCACACCCAGCAAGGCATTTTAAAGTTACATACTTTGCCAGCAGTACTTGCCTTGGATACTGCAACTGGATCTTTAACAGCCCTGCTGGGATGAAACAACAGGGACATCAGCTCTCACCCCACAGCTGCGATGCCTTCAGTCAACAGTGGTAACTAGTTCATGTTGTCACAACTCCACACTGCCATACAGAGCAGAAATGGATCTACTAAGCCAGAACCCAGTTTTCACAGTCAGTTCAGTGGAGAACTACATCTTTAGTAAATAAAGAGGAGTCTTCCTCTAAAGATGCAGCCCACAAAACCTGCAAATGGAATGCCAGACCATCCCTAATAATACCTCCACTGGAGGAAGGAAAAACAATCTAAGGCAGGACTGGCACCATGGCCTGTCCCAAACAAGGCAAACCCAAGAACAAACCTAAGAACTCAAACGCAAGGACAAACTATAGAAGAGTTCATGTATTTTTTGACTGGAATCACAATTATATAAGTGGTATAAACTCTAGGTTCTGTTCTCATGTTTATTTTAACTTTCAAACTGTAACAGCTCATTGTACTGATATGGCCAAGGGCTCTTTGGTACCACCTCAAAAACACATTGAAAAAAACTGCCCAAGAAGGGACTTGACAGCCAACAACTGGAAAGAACTCTCTAACCTCCACTACAGAGCTGGCTTTATAAGAACCCAACTTTTCCATAACCAGGCTAAGTACACTATTAACTAATTATTCCTTGAAATAGGCAGACAAAATATTTAATTAAACAGAAACATTCAAGGCATTTTTGATTATTGGCACCAGAAAAAAAGGGACAACTGCAGTTCAAAAGAAAGGATACATATTGTTCACACATGGGATTCAGTGAACCTTCTCTCATGATACCTGGATTTAGCCAGAATTTTTGCTATACGTTAAATGCACTTTTCCACAGAGAGAACATGTATTACTCATCTGACAGCAGTGACAGTCCCAACTACATGAACGAGTGTAGTAAAACAGACAAAAGTCTACAATGCCATTTCTTTCACTGCAAAAGTTCTCAAAGGAACACAACTAAAGAATCCAAATCTCATACCATATTTTGCCAGCCCTGTTTGGATTTCATTTTTTGACACTTTTTCAACGTTGCTTTATGCTTTAAAATGTTGGCTTTAAAAGAAATAGCACTGAAACGAAAGTCTTATATTCTGTAGCTTTGCTATATGGGGAGGTGGATTTAAAAAAAGAATCTTTGCCCTATAAAACCACTATTTGGTTCTGTTGGGCAGGAATACAACTGAAAAGTGCCAAAACCAAAACCTTACATACACTTTATTGTCCAGATGCATTACGGTTTGGTTCTGCAAAAGCAAGTTTAACATGTCAACAACAGTGGGGCAGGAGCACCAATTTCTTTTCTCAGCTCAGAAGCACCATGAAAGCATCTACTCACATTTGCAATTGCTCACAAGGTTTAGGCCAGTGTCTAAAATTGTTTCTGAACTCCTCTGGCTGTGCTGGCTTTCTGCAGAGGCAGGCAGGTGATGAGAGAGAGAAGCAGGCTGAGAAGCCAAACTTCTGCTGCTTTTGTACTCACTGAACATCCAAACTGAGTGCAGACAGTGACGAACTTTCATGGTGCTGCACCACGGAGGCTTCTCCTTTGGCTGAACTGCAGCATGCAGCTTTCCCAAAAGAACAGGGAAAGGCTCTGATGGAAAACACCGTTTTGTACATTAATAATCTTAACAGGACAAAAAGGAAAGGGCTGAATGACAGTGCAGATAAAAACAAATCCAGCATCAGCAGGTGTTACACTTCCCTGTCTTTACAGAAATCATAATTATTCCAGGCCTGGAAAATGAGAAACACTAATGAAAGACTAAAATGGTAAAGGGAAAAGTAACTCCAAGCAAATAAAAGAACACCACAAGGTATCTGGCTACATTTTATTTCTGAAATTATTCTTTAAGGCACAAAATAAATCTAAAAAATAGGACTGGATGTATGAGGGGAGAGGCAGCAAAACTGTCTGAGCTAGAGGTGTGAATGCAGTCTCTACTATCCAGTTTCAGATCTGACCTGGGAATGCTCCTAGGATGAGTGGGAGAGGATGGTGAAAGTAGAAGAGCATTCTTATTTAGAAGAGGTAGGAGGTTGTGGGGTGATTAATTATTTTATTTTCCACCACCTCCAAATTTACATACATACTGGTTCCTGGCCAGACTCAGGTTCCCTTCCTTCCCCTCAGAGAGCTCATTACAGTCTGTAAAGTAAGACTAGACCTCTCAATCTTCCAGTACAAAAACTGAGACCTTGAATCACCCTTCATGTCACAGCCTGCTCAGAGTGGTGGGGGGACAAGAGGCAAATTTGGTTTTGCCCTCATGTTGGTGTCTTGATAGGCATTAGAGATGTCTATGTTTTGCTTCAGACAAACTGTAATTTACTACTTTGTTCCCACTCTGAAGTAGAATCTCAGGCATTCAGGATGCCCTTAGATAAAGGGTAGGTAGGTATCTTAGTGGAACAGCTGTCATGGAAGGGAAAAAACAATGTTCAAATGGCCCATGACACGAACTATCCAGAAAAAACAGGTTCTCTTGCTGCAGGTGAGACTATTTTTCTTTTGGTTCTGAATGCATGTAGTGTATCACACAGCTGTCTAAAATAATCCTGCAGAGAGTGGATTTAGAAGTGAATTACATGCATGGGATAAACACCCCCAAAACTGGGGTAATTCTTCGTAGCAGGACAGGTTTAAAGAGCTCCAAAGATCTCTAGTTTAACTGCTCTGGGAAGAGATCACATCTGTGGACTGGGGGTCACAGAAGGGTCCAAAACGTCCGTAGATGTCCTTAGCCCGGACTGCAAAGTAGTATTTGCTGCCAGACACAAACTGTGTGAGAGTGCATGCCATGGGGAGTGGGAGGGCCTTCACCTCCCCGATCTTCTTCCACTGGGAGGGCATGGTGGCACTTGGGTCCTCGTGGTAGGCGTAGAGATGGTAACTGTCCACAGTGGCACAGCTCCGGTCCACCTCCATGACACTCCATGACAGCACAATGCCATTCTGGCTCTGTACCCGTGCCAGCTTCAGCTGTGGCTTTTGAGGCAGAGAAGTGTTGGCAGCTTCAGGGGGCAGTCGTGGTGGCTGTGGTGCCTCTGGAAGTGGGGCAGGATGTATAGGGCGTGATGGCTCCTAAGCAGCATAAGAGCAATAAAGGAAAGATCAGAGTCTACAGCAGTGGAAGGAGGTTTTAATTCATCCTTCCCCAGGTAACTGGAAGCAAATGGACCTGCAAATCACCCAACCGTCACAACTCTTGGTCCTGTGTGCAGAGGCAAAGGGGCAGCAGCAAATGTTGAGAAGGGGTGGGACCAGGGATGCCGTAAGTTCTTATTATTCACATGTATGTAGCTGTACAGCTGATCATCAGCACAGTTATCTCCCTATATCCTCTTTGCTTCCCAGCCAAGAGGGGGTGGACTGAACACTGTGCCCTTCACCATGACTGAGCAGGTTCACAATGACTTTGAGCCAATCTCTGCTTGAGCTGCTGTTCCCACATTACCTGACACACCCCAGGCAGTGCATTAAGCTGACAACTCAGCACTTTTTCAACAGACAGGTTTTCAGTCACAAAAGGAAGAAAGAATCCATGTGGCACCATTACCCTATCACCTTAAATTAATCACAAAGCCTCAGCTTCCAGAAAATTGTGAAATGAGGGCACAAATGTGTCTTTCCAGTGATATTTCTTTTTTATACCAAAAAACCAGCCCTAGGTCTCTCGTCCACGTTAGTTAAGATAAATTTAGGAATATGACTATAATGAAATTTTGTTGTTCTTCAAACCTGAGGCCCTTCAGGTTGGAACCTGGGGTAGTTTTCATCATCTTAAGTGTTCTGTGTGACATTGGTTTGATTTAGTCTCATTATTTAAAATAGCACTGAATAATGCATTAAGTTGAACTGAATGAATATCTAGACTGGAAGAATGGTGAGCCACCTTCTTGGTAATATATTTACCATTTCAGAACACTAAGTAACATGACTGCCTGAGTGTGCAGGCAATGTATTTGGTTCAGTCTCAACAGCAAAAACACGAGTCAGAGAAAATTCTCAAATCCTTACAAAAAGGGGTTTGAGGTGATGCAGAAGTAATCACCCCCAGTGATTAAAAAAACCCCTCTGAAATTTGGGAGTTTGGAACTTCGGGAATCTTGTCTGTATCTTGCTCTGCGACATCAGTTTTGCAAATAGGTGTACTGAAAAACTGGTCACCCAAGTTATAGCCAAACCATGACTAAACTTTTTAGTGGCAGGTCTTCTGTATCCTTGACTCCATGAGTCACCTGCAGACAATTCATGCACTCTTCTTCCATCCATATGTGCTACTGGTAATTTGAAGAATGCCAAGGTAAGCCAGGAGACTGCACAGCTTTTACCATCCTGGGCAGAAGTTGCTGTAGGTGACTGGGTGGTGCTATACACAAGAACTGGCTCAAAAGGGTTGAGGGGTTACAGCAGAGTGTTAGGTTAATGGTTGGACTTGATGATTCTACAATTCTATACAAGGCACTTCACTGTTCTGCAGTTCACACTAAGAAGCAATCTGAGAGATACTAAAGCAGAGGACAAGCCTGCAAATTGCATTGAGTAATTTCCAAAACACTACTCACAGCATGCACTTGTGGTGGTCGATGATGCACTGTAAGCTGAGGTGCTCCAGACCCAAGAGTCAGCCCGCTGTTCACAACATAGGCTGTTTGAGGCATTCGCACTGTCATACCTAGAAAAAACACAATAAATACATTGAGTATTCAGTGCTTACAATCAGCTAAAGAGAACACTGGAACACTCCTTGGTTCAGCTGGAGACACCACATTTCAGACACACACAGCTTGAGGAAGCTGCCAGCAGACTGATGAAGCACTGTGAACAACAAAATCAATTCCCATCCCCTGAAGCTGTCAGAGTGAGTGACAGCAAGTGCTTATGTCTGCACAGGGGACAGAATGTTGTTTTAATCATTTGCAGAACGAAAGAAATGGGTGGAGAGGGGAAGTGTGGGAGATACAGGGAGTATGAAAAGAAAAATTACATCACTTTGGGATTCAGAAAGGGAAAGAAAAATGCTGCAGCAGCAGAATGATATCCACTCAGAAGTGCTGTGGATGGCACTGGAAACAAAAAAGGTAAGTCACTGTCCAAGCAGCTTGTCCTCCCTCACAGAACAGAAACCAAGACAGGTATTACTCACAGGCCTCGCCACTTCATTCATTCCCACAGCAAACAGACCTGACTGGCAGGAATACACAAGGCAATTTTATAGCCTTGTAGATAATACCCAAAACTCTTGCAAACTGCTGAATTTCATTAATTTTATACTACATCTAATTCTAATTTATCTATTACTACATGTAATGAATTTATCTATTCGCTGTTGGAACATGTATGTTCGTGAGCTCAAAACTTGTTGTTACAGGTTGCCTAAGGTGTCCCTCTATTTCTGTCTAGAAATACAAGATTTGGGGCAACCCTCACTGCTCCCTAGTTCCACACCTGTGTGAGACTGAAGTACTCTAATACTCCCAAAGAGAAGCTCACAGAGCCACACGTCTCAGGAAACCACAGCTATTGTATGGCACTTTCTTCTCTATATAAACACTCATCAAGTTCCAGTCACAGGGAATGAGTGTCAGAGTCTGTGGGATCTGCAAGTCCAAGGCAGGGAGCTCAGAGTACTAAATCTTAACACTTTTATTAAAAAGCACTGAACACGAGGTCTTGTTTTCTACTGGCACATTTATCTAAGAAACTAAGAAGCTGCGTGAACTCCTGCAGGATAAACAGTCACCTGAACTGGCTCTTTCTCCTCTATGAGAATCCAGTCAGATAGGCTGGTTTAGTGTGACTGTGGTTCTGTCTCAGGAAGTTAGAAAAATCTGAAGAAAGATGGTCAGAAATGCCTTACGAAGATATAAGGTACAAATGCGGCATTATTTCTAGGTAGGCGTATTACTCATCTGAGGCAGAAGTACAAAACTGCAATTTGCAAAACACTTGGGATGGGTTCTCATAGTCAATCTTTCAAAGATAAAGCACAGAGATCTTACTCTGGAGGCATCTGCTGTGGGCACTAAAGACTTGCAATGGTAATACAAACTAATAACACATCAGTAGCAGCATTTCTGAGAGCTGCAAAACAAACACAGTGAAGAATGGAGAACGGACTAAAGGATGTAAACTCATGATAGCTAAAAGAGATCAAAAAACGTTATTGCTTTTTTTGTTAATACTATGTCAAAACTCTCTACCTGGTATGGAAATATGAAGCCTTGATATAATCTGTAGTCTAACTACACTGGTCTTTTATCTCCTCAGGCTAATCATCTGGCTTCCTTGTCCTGAGGTACAGGGCATGCACACTATGGAGGAACTGTCATTTTCTTATGTCTTATATGACTTGTCAAGACATCAGTACTTATGATGCCCAGACGTACTTTTCAAGCCAGAGTAACAGAACTGCCTCTAACAGAATCACAACATTCCTGGTTTGAAAGGAACGCCAGAGATGATCTGACCCAACCTTCTGTTAAAAGAAGGCTCTTAGATTAGTCTGTTCCAAGGTCTAACCAAGCTGAATATTACTTATTTTGGTGGAAACTTGCCTTGATTTCTGAGAATTTGTAAGCAGACAAGAGAAGGATAAGCATTCAGCTCCACTAGGCCATGAGATCAGCAGCACATTACACAGAGGTCTGTTGTTGGAGGACTGGATCACAGCACTAAGTACCACATCCAGTCTCATCTTGAAAACCTCCAGGGATGGTGAATCTACCACCTCCCTGGGCAACCCATTCCAATGCCTGATTACTCTCTCTGTATAAAATCTCTTCCTAATATCCAACCTAAACCTCCCCTGGCAGAGCTTGAGTCTGTGCCCTCTTGTCCTACTGCTGGTTGCCTGGGAGAAGAGACGAACCCCCACCTGACTCCAACCTCCTTTCAGGTAGTCGTAGAGGGTGATAAGGTCTCCCCTGAGCCTCCTCTTCTCCAGGCTAAACAACCCCAGCTCCCTCAGCCTCTCCTCACAGCACTTATGTGGCACTTAGTGCCATGGTCTAGTGATGACAGTAGGGTTGGACTTGATGATCTTAGAGGTCTTTTTGATCCTTGTTGATTCTATGATTCTATGACCTTACCCAAAGAACACATGAATTTCCTACCTCATTGAGTTCTCCTAGAAAAGGTCTTCAAATTGCATATTACATACTCTGTGTTCTTCAACAACACTTTAACTACCTTGCATGTCTAACACTAAAAGGTGTTCTTTAGATATTAATACTAGTAATGTGTATTTAATCATAATAACTGCTCTAAGAAGTGACAGATTCTGATGAAAAGATGTATTTTATATCATGGTACAAAAGAAGAAAATGCTATTAAAAAAATTCACATAAGTGAATGCATACATGGACATTCTCCTTTCCAGAAGCTACAGTTTCATAACAGTCAGTCAATTATTTCTGAACAAACATATGCAGGTACAACCTTACCCAGCTCAAACATGTAGTGTTCAAAGTATGGCCTATATAAATAGTGTCTCAAAAATCACTACCTGGACAGCACAAATTAGGCTCATGGTCAGTACACTAGAACAAGGGAATTTATATTTAACATAACCGTTAAAATAAACACAGTGCAGAAATTGTGGGGAGCAAAAAAAAGGAAGTTAAGACTCACCACTTTGTAACAAAATATCAATTAAGGTCTTTGGTTTTGACATCTACTACTCATTACAGAAAATGAATTTACTGCTATGAGAAGATACAAGTTAGGTATTTACAAACTCAAGATGAACTTGTCAACATCTCTGATCAAGGAAACTCAAGCATGTATCTATTTCTGATGAAATTTCATCCATCCAAGCCTGGAGAAAGTAAGGAAATTTGCTGGACACAGGACATCAGAGATTGTTAAGGAATTACATTAGGATACCCGATAAAAAAGTAACTTTTAGACAAGAAACCAAACATGATTTACTACATAAAAGTATGTTTTAATCTTATACCATAATAAAAAAAAAGGTCTCTAACTATCTTTCTATGGTGCTTATCACATTTTGTTCTGCTACCTTGTAAAATACTGGGCATGTCATCCAGAGATGCTTAATTGGCAGAGCGAGTGCCTGATATGACTGAAATCCAGTTTTTCCTCATTCACGTAGCTGCAGGAGGAATTTCTTAATAGCCTAAGAATTTTCTGAAGTCTGTAAGCTGAGAGAAAACCCTAACCTCTATAACTTGGACCAGGATTGTTAAACAGCCAAACAAAAATCCCCCCCAAATCCCACATCCATCAGGTAGAACATACCAAGCTGTGTCATGGTAAAAAGTGCATGGAAGGAATCGTCCCCCTACCTCCAGTCTGTGGGTTGACTGGCCTTAAACTTGAGCTTGTCATGACAGCTCCTCTCACAGGATTCTGAGCTGGTGGTGCAGGAAGGGGGGTGTAGACCACCTGGTGGTTAGTTGGGGCTCTTGGTATAGGAAGCTTTGGAGCAGTTTGAGTCACTGGCCGATGAGTTACATTCACTGTTGTCGGAGCTGAAAAAGACAGGACACAACTTAGAATTGAATTCCGTAACATGAAGCTATGCACTTATTCCAGAGTACACGTCTCCTTTGGAAAAAAGACTCATCTGAGCCATGGAAAATAAAAACTCTGAGAAATTCTATCTGCTTTTGATAATGCAAGAAAAGTGAAACCAGCCTAAACAAACAGTATTTTCACCTGAAATATTAATGCCAATAATATACAAATTATTAACAGAAAAGATAAATGTAATACCCCCAACAAAGGTCCTGAATGTAAGGCCAGTGGTGGAGAATATAAAACCCACCACCAAAGAGTCATAACAGATCGGTCATAAGACTCTTCCAATGCCAACAATCATCGAGAGAAAAAAGAGAGTAAAATAAAGAAAAATAAAGAGAATCTACATTTATGCTAGAAAGAAAGGGGAAAAATAATCACACTACAGACAAATAACACTTAAGTAGGGATGGAACTTCAGTGTTAGCCTTGCCATTCACTCTGCCAAAAGAATTAACTGCCAAGTGCAGAGGGACAGACCTAGGAGTGATGTTCATAATGTTTTTTCCCTATTACTTAAATAACACAACTGCTACAGGTTTCTTCTCCTTCACTTTTACAAACAACGGTCTGTTTAGTAATTTTCATGACCATCCTTAGCAGGATTTCTTCCTCTCCATGAATTCATTTGATCCTGAATTCTTTCCAAACCAATAGCATTATCTTTCCCTTCTGTTTCACCAGCTTTTAAAACGCCACAAACTGACTAGAATGAAAAGAGTAAGAAGCAACCAAAACATTCTGAATATTCACTTGAAAAGATGAGCACAATGTAGAACAGGCAAAAGTTTAATTGAAGAAAAAAAAGCAGTCACTGCATTCACAGAGTGATGCAAAAGGAAGTTACCTGTAGGTAATATATGTATGGTGGCCTGGGAGGACCCACTGATTGGCACTCCTGGCTGCTGTACAGGACTTGGCTGCAAAGCTGGCAAAGGCTGCAAGGGTCGAGCCAAGGGCTGGGTGGTTATGCTCAGTCCTGGAGCAGCTGTCTGGTTCTGGTTCTGCTTTTGCTTCTTGCCATCTGCTTTAAAAAAAAGTTAGAGAGAATAGCAAACAGAAATTAGAACATCACAGAGTTTTCAAGCAGATCCTCCTCTGCACATTTATAGACCAGTGAGGATATTTCCCAGCATGATGTTTCTTTGACCATTTCATTCTGCAAACAAATCTGCAGAAAATTCATTCAATTCCCCTCACTTTCATCACTGCAGTCTCCTTCCCCTGCCACTCCATCAGGTTTTATTCTACCATGAAGTCTGCATATTTCAGTGTAATTTGGAAACCTGAATTAATGGAACATTATGCCAAAGTCTTTCAAAGTTTCTATTAAAAAAATATCCTAAAGCATTTAAAAGGCCTAAACACTGTGGCACTCAATTCAATTTAGCTCCCTAAATAAATATTGCCTACCATGCTTACATCCTTTTGTGACGTGCTGACTTGCTCCTTCGTTCAATCTGTTAGTCAGCCCTGTTTGTTGCTGTTTTGAATTTTCACACTATTGGCTTCAAAAAGGAGAATCACTTCATTATTTATGGGAAACTTAAAAAAGAACATTTGTTTTCTCACACTGACACACTCCTCAACATGACTTACTGACTTGTGAGAAGTGACAAATAGTGGCTGGCTGTAGTTTAGTATGGCAATATTTTTTCCTGTTTTATTTGTGACAACATAAAATATTCATTAGAATGCATGCCTGTATTTAATTGAGCCTTTGTACAATTTGAACTAAGAAGAATTCAGAAGATTTTGCCTGGATAGGTCACCTAGATTAGAGTAGTAATGGGCAGAGAAGGAACCATAAAGAGCTATAAATCACAAGAGAAAAGAGTAAGTTTTAAGGGCACTCAGTCAAAAAAGATTTGTCCTAATAAAATTCTACATGCAGCAGCCACTAGTTTAGTAAAAGCGCATACAATATAAAGATTGAAATACCTAAATACTAATTTTACTCTTGAGAAAATGTAACAGTATAGTGAAGAACACATTAAAAAACTTTTAATTAAATATACCAACTAGATTTCAAAGCATTAACAACAGGGTTAATGGCAGCACAGCTCAAAATGTTGGGTTTCTTAGCAGTTTGAGACTATTTTGATGGTCTCACCAAGCTGTCTGTAACACCAGCTCCTAACAGCTTGAAGTAGCAGGACCATTCACAAACTACTATATGATTCTATGAAACAGTTACAGAATCACAGAATGATCAAGGCTGGAAGAGACCTTTAAGACCTAGTCCAACCATCAACCTAGCGCCATCATCATCACCCCTAAACCATATCCCCAAATTCAAGACCTCAGAAATAAAACACAGGACCATAATGTCTTTCTGTAGACTGAAGAGCTAAGCTACTTCACTGGAGTCATCTGATGGAGATAGAATTTTCTTTACCTTTTTAATAAGTCTATTAGAGGAGCAGTAAGGGGATGCTCATTTTGAAAACAAAAGGTGAGATATTTCCTACTTTTTCATCAACTAACAGACCTTGTGACTGGTTCAAGCTTCTTTTATTTCCCATGAGTATGAGAAATCCCCACCGTTCAACAAACCATTTGAAGAGATTCCAACAGAGATGCATACATCTCTTTACTCTGAATATTTGCAGACTGATGGACATTTCAGCTACCATTGAACAATTTAAGTGATGTGAGGGCATGCTTAGATATGGCTTAGAAGATCCAACTATTAAAAGCCACACTACTGCTGTAAAAATGTGGTTCAAGTGAAAATCACAGTCTGGACAAATCTGAGAGCTTTTTCAGTTTTGCTTTTGTTTTTCATCTCACATGGAGCAAGTTCATTTATCCCTGACAAATCAAAAGCCCTGCTGAGATTCCAGTTGCTGGAAAGTAGGTCAGGATTGCACCAGTCACAGGAAATGATGAAAGACAACCAACTAGACTTCACTGAAGGAATGAATGGAAATAAATAGCTATGTAAGTAAGTAAGTTTCCTTGTTTTCCAGCAAGGAAAACAGGAAGACTGGGTGCAGAGAAAGCAGATTAACATTTATTAAGGAACAATTCAAATATTAAATGAACACAGTGTCATGTTCGTAACAAATGTGGACCTAGAGGAAACAAAAAAATCTGATTTATTGAAATGAGCATAAAGTGGTAATCATTACTAATAGAGCTGTAAGCAAAACTGCTAATCTAATCCACAAAATGGAAAATAAGAGGGGCTAATTTCCATGTCAGACATTGAGCCTACAATCCTGCAGCTACAGCAGGAAGGAGTTTTAATCAGTATGCTAATTCGTAACTGGTATAGTGGGATGACAGAACAGCAAACATACCATATGCATGTTCAAGAATAATAATAAAAATTATTCAGGAAACTACAGTTTTGTTACTCAGATAAAATAGCTTATAAAATAGAAAAATGATACTGTATTTAATAATTTTTCTTACAAAAAGATAACTAAATAAGTGGAACATAGAGCTGTGTTCAAGAATACACTTAGGTATCTTTCTTAGGTCACAAATCCACTTCAGACTAAATCTATTAATTAGTATTCTTATGAAATAATCTGGTGCAGTGTGCTACACAAATATTTTATAGTAAGGACAGAAAGGTCCAAAGTACTTTCTTGCAAACAGAGAAGTATGTAGATCACTCTTTGATAGAGGGCTGACAACTGTTCTGAACAGAAATTAATAGCATGATTCTCAAAAGTTACACATTTTCATTAACTTTTGCACACATCCGAAGGTGTTATTAGATAATCGTTGCTATTAATATTTAAATACCTTTTACAAGTAACAGAATCAGCTTTACTTCTCATTTGGGTGACAATGCTTTAAAGAAAATAATCAGGATCTGAGTGTTCCCAAGAACACTATGTAAGTGTTGCTCTTCTACTTGAATTAGCATTGAACTAATATTCCTGCAGTAAACACGATAATGCTGGAGGTATTTTCTATCCTGATGTTGTGTACCAATAAATCTAGAACAAAACTAGACCTGCTCCACCTTTGCTGTAAACAAAGTGCACTGATAAAATATTTGGCCAAAGGTATATAGATGCACATGTTTATGCAAAAGCTGTCAGAAATGTACTCTTCCTCTTTTTAACCTGAATTTTACTACCACAGTATGTGAATTATTTCCTGAGAAACTTGCTAAAAATCCTAGTGATTTGTTCTCACTGCATGGTGAAACTTAAGCTTTTATAAGGGTTTTGGTTCCTGTGTTTCTACAGCCTGTATGGAAAACAGTGATTCCTCACACGAACCCTAAACATGAACTAACCTGCATGGCTTCAGACCATCAGTGAGAGTCTCACTTCTGCTCTGCAATGAAGAGACACACAGGAGCTAACCCAGCCTGAAAGTTCCCCACTAACCTTCCTCCTAATGAAAGAAGAATTTTTAAAACCTGACAGCTAAGGGGAAAGAATCTCAGAAGATCCCACTGGAGAAATTTAAAGATACTAAGTCAAGCTCCAACAAAGAAACTGAGGAAGAATTAAGTTACTATACTGTAACGGAGCTACGACTCTGTAGCACTTCAACCTAGAGGAGCATTCTTACAGTCACACGTGCAACCATGGTGTTGGTCTTCTATGGCATTTGTGAGGTGAACATCTACTTATTGCAATCAGGGAGGAAAAAGCTCTACGGAAAATGTTACTTTCGATACAAAATGTTTAGCTGAGAGATACTACAACACTGTGACATGCTACTTTAAAACATACCATAAACCCATTTAGATTTGTTGGGTGTCTTTTACAGAGTACTAGTTAGGAGTGGGGAGGTTAACCTTACCTGACAGACTTCCACAGTCCAAGGGCAACCATCTTTTTTATCTTTTTGAGAACTAACCCTCACAAAGAGATGACAGTGGTAAAAACTTGACAGCCTGAGTCATTCTGCTAGTCAGTTCATCAATTGACAGGATCATCAAAACCCTGGCTGAAAAGGACTTCTTGGTGGCCTTGTAGTCAAATTTCTTGTTGAAGCTGGACTGTAACCAACATTAATTCAAATGACTTGTGGTTTTGCCCTGTTGAATCTTGAGAACATTCAAGAATGGAGTTTCTACTATCCCTCCGTGCTGCACTACAGTGATTTCTTCTCCACTCAAGCTCAACTTGAATCTCCTGAACTTGTAGTTCATGGCCACTGTCTTTAGTATATTACCTGGCACTGCTGATCAGTTGTGCTCCAGCATCTTTCTAACTATCCTCCAAGTAGCTGTAGGCTGTTATTACATTATCTCTCGCTTTGCTCTTTGCCAAATGTGCCATGGTCTGTTGATTTCTTCTTACAGGTCATGTGCTCCAGGCCCCCACCATCCTGATACTATCTTCTGGGCCCTCTCCAGTGCTACCACAACTCTTCTGAGCTCAACGAAGGAGGAGCCAGAACTGGACTCTGGTCTTTCAGCTGTGATCCCACCAGTGTCAATGAGGGGGGATATAGTTACTTAAATAAGAACACACTCTTGGCTCATATTCAACTCACTGTCCACCACGTATCCTCTAATGCTAAGAGAACCAGACTGTCAGCTATCTGAATTACATCATGCTTCCCTAATACTTGTATACCACAGGCACACCATCACATGTGATGTCACCACATTGGTTATAACATCATATGGAAGTGTTCGAGGCCAGGTTGGATGGGGCTTTGAGCAAACTGATCTAGTGGAAGGCATCTCTGCCCCTGGCAGGGGGGTTGGAACTAGATGATCTTTAAGGTACTTTCCAACCCAAACCATTCTATGATTTCTTCCTCACTGAAAGAAATGCTATCACATGCCAATATGATTTCTGCATTTGTGTTAGATAAGTACAGAGTAAGTCACACACACACACAGACTCAAACAGAATCAACCAGGTTGGAAAAGACCTCAAAGATCATCGAGTCCGTCCAATCCTACTGTGGCTGGTCAAGCCATTAAAAATGTTGTGTAGAATTTGATTGCACTAGCTAGAGAAATAGCTACCAAGGTTGCCCAGAGGAATCAAACTTCTTGGTGGCTGCACTTCAGAATGCAATGCAGGGATGCAGGTCTCACTGCCCTTACAGTAGAAAAGGTTTTTTCCTGAGAGGGTGGTGAGACACTGGCACAGGTTGCCCAGGGAAGTGGTGGATGGCCCATATATTACTTGTATACCACAGGCACAACATCACATGTGATGTCACCACATTGGTTATAACATCATATGGAAGTGTTCAAAGCCAGGTTGGATGAGGCCTTGAGCAACCTGGTCTGGTGGAGAGGTGTCCCTACCCATGGCAAGGGGTGGGGACTAGATCATCTGTAAGGTTCATTCCATCCCCAAAATTCTATGACACGCATTTGGGACTAGATCATCTGTAAGGTTCATGCCATCTCCAAAATTCTATGACATGCATTTAGAGACAACATAGAATGAAAATTATCTCCAATAGTAGATATATAATCTCTTCAGTCAAGATAACAGCACAATACAGTCTTAAGTACAGACCATTGTTACTTCTCTGAAGTACTATAGTTGTTCACTATTCCAAAGCTAATTACAATTAGACCTGTCCACATTTACACAAGACCTATAAAAAATAAATTTATTCTTTTAAGAGCCAAAGTGCATCCAAACTGCCAAGGCATATAAGAGCACAACTACATTTACTCTGATCTCTGCATACAGTCCCAAAGCAAACAACAGATTTATATCTAGTCTTTAAACTCTTGCACATAAATTGCTTGAGTTAAACGAAAGATTAGAAGCTGTAATAATCTAATGCCTGAGTACCAATTGTAGAATTAAAAGGTCTTTAATTAATCAGTAAACAGAAAATTTAAATACATCTAAAAACATCATCAAGAACTCAAACATCTCAAATTACTTCTCAGGCCCAGTGGATTCAAACACAGATAGTGACAATGCTTAAATAAGAAGAAAGGTAAAAATCTTAAAGACAATTTTACAGCAAGTAAAATTCCTTTTATTTAATGCCTATCAGATTTTTTTTAACAACAGTCCTATTTAACTGAAAAAAACAATAAAGAAATACACTAGCAGAAGCAGAAGTTTCTTTTTTTCTGTCATTCATGGGATGAAATACTACTTGTAGCTCAATTACCCCTGCAGCTAGCAAAATATTTTTCACCCACCTTGAGAAGAGCCATCATCTTCTTCATCCAGTGTAAGATCAATGACACCTCCTGAATCACTTCCTGTGACCTTCCCGCTCTGAAAGACAAAACTCCTTCATTTTGCAAAAGCAAATCCAGGGAACACAGGCGGAAAAGGGACACAAATTAAACATTCAGAAGGAGAGGTCTCAGAATTGACACTTATTAGAAAGGAACTGATGAAATGAGCAGGAGGAGGAAATTTCAGAAAAATTTCCCAAGACTTGAAAAGCAAGCAATAACCAAATGACTGCACTGCAGTATCAAACCCCAGATGACTAGTAGCATATTGTTTTTTTAAAAGTAAACACATAACAATTTGCTGTTATTTCAAGTATGAGTCTAACATTTTAATCCAGTTGTAATCTGTGCTTTCCTCTGCAGTACTGTAACCTTTTGACAGAACAGTCACCAGGACAATGTGTTACTCACGTTGAGACAGCTTAGCCTACAAGCCTAGAAAGACAATGGCTTCACAATAAGATGATAAGAAAACTACCCTGGAACCTCTATTTGCCTATAAAACACATCAAAAAGCCATCAGGAAACTCCAATTGTATCCAGCTTTTTAAAGTAATTTCATTACCGTATTCTCATTCATTATCATAAGTTCTAGCATTCTATTTTTCTACATATGAAGATATTTGTAACCATCCTTTTAGGAAGGATAAAAGGATCTTTAAGCTATTGTGAAAGCTAAATGTTGTAACAAAAAAGCCCTAGTGGACCATCAAACAAGATTTATCTTCTGGATCAATTACTGTCCCTTGGCTGTTCAGGCTGGAGGGACCACCACTATTTTCCCTTAGGTGATGAAAAAAATATGGGGGTCCTATATATTTCTGTGCTTTTACATATACTTTCTAGAAAAAAAACACTTAAATGATATTAATTTCTAGTTCCTTACGCTTGGTGTAAAAATCAATTGTGGCTTTTTTTTGTTGTTATTGTCGACTTGTTTTGTGGAAGAGATGATCATTTACTGTTGGACTGAACTGCTACTGACTTATGGATTAGAGTAAACTAGGTTCCTTTGGACAGACAAAGGGTTACAAGAGCACCATAATTATCAAAAAATCTCTGAACAATTAACATGGAAAAAGGACAAAAGTTCTAACTCCTACATGGTCCACACAAATGCCAACATGATACAGCTTAGCAAGATTGGAGATATTTCTGTGCTGTCAGATGGGGACAAAAGCACAAAGCCTAAGCATCAAGGTTATCTGCTCTATGACCTTTTATTTGGGTAAAACTAAGCCTTTAAGGAGGTCCTAAAGACAATTCTCACACAGGCAAGGCTTTGAGGAGAGGCAGACGAGGTATCATGATTGCCACATGCAAACAAAATGCTGCCATTGATGAAATTCTGCTAATAAACTACATGATACACAATTTGAGATCTAACTACTTATGTTCACAGGTGATTTAGAGATCTCTATATGGACTTGTATCTTTGCTACACATAGAGAAACATTTCAGAATCAACTGTGGAATTCTGTTGAGTGGTTTCTATTTAAAATACCCATTTGAAGCGGAAGATAAATATTAAAATAATCAATGATAAACTGATTAGCATAAAGTCAAGAGGAATTTCATTCCAACTTGATGACCTTCCCAGTCAACCATGTATATTCTGAACTATGGCATTCTCTGCCAGGAAAAAGCATATTGAAAAATGGAAAGGGAGATTTATAAAGAACTGGAGAAAGAAAAAAAGAAACCAGCTATCACCAAGCTCTTAATTTCTTCCCACTATAAAATACGAAGTAATTTCCTTTCAATTCTTCCTCTGCAAGGAAATTAAAATCCTTAGAAAAACACTCTGTATGACAGCTAACTGTTTTGAAGCCCTACTTGACTGTGGCAATGGAGAAAGTTCTTTGAACTTCCAAGTCAGCAAGTGCCACAGAATGTATTTCTTTGTTTTGGTGTGTATGGAAGGCCAAAATCTTGAGTTAGTTAAACAGGCAACTATTAAATCCAATCCAAGATGCTGTACTCCACATTCAGCACACCATGAAGTCCTGACTCCCCAGCCTCACCCACTAGTTAGTTCACTGACCATGTATCTCCCTCAAATGAAATTAAGGGGTACAGGAAAATGTTAAGGAAACTTAAAAAACTAAAAATGCTGCACACCGTGTTTCCTACTTAAGGGGGCTTGGTGTAGGCAGGCTATCCCCACACAAAACAGACTGCTCATTATGCCTGCCATAAAATTTTGACTATTTGCAGCATCAAAAGGAAGAGAAGTATCCATTTCTATATCCTGCAGTGTTGGCACACAGTTTTTAAATACTTGTAGGTATCCCAACTTGATCTCAAATGAAAGGAAATTCAGGAAGAACAGGGAATCAGGTGTTGAAGGCAGGTCCACACTACTCTTCCATGGTAAAATTAAGCATCTCCATGATCTGAGAGAGAAGCTTTGCCACCCTATTCCAGATATTTCTGGAGTATTGTCACCAACAGAATGGCTAAGACCTACAAATGGAACAATGTGGAATCATCCCTGTGAAAAGCAAGTAATAAATGGTTTTCAGAAAATCATGTGCTCAACCAAAGAAGAAAATAAAAACACTCCTTTTGAGTATCAAAACTATTTTACTCAGAAATGATCTCAGTGAAATTTCTGTGGTGCAAGGACTTACGAAAACAGTCAACCATAGCTATGTTTGAGGAAAGGCTAGAGAGAAACAAGTGCTATTGCTTTTGTAAAAAGGAAGAAATGGGATTCTTTGGAGGAGTGTGTAATAATAATGTATATATGTGACATATTACACATTAGTAAACAGAGATTCAGATATGTTGCTCTGAGCAAAATTAGAAACCAGCTCATGAAGGCTTGCAGCCCTGATGAAGGATGAAAGCAAGAGGGAGCCTGACATCAGACTTTGAGTCATGAACGAACTATGTCTGTGTTTATGTCAAAACCTGAAATTTCAGAGAACAAGTCTTTCAGCTCCTAATATCGGATCTCTGTAAGCATTTGGGTACAAGCTGGTAAAGCAGAGAAGAAAGGTCAAAGCTGTCAAATTCTGGTCTACTATCAGTTTTTAGCTACCTCCAAACACAGGAAGCCAACAACCTCAATCTGCTTCAGCTGATCTCTGCAGAAGAGCAAGATGATGCAATCTTACTCATCAGTGCAGGCACACTAGTGAAATAATTAAAACCATTTAATGAGAACCCCATAATGCCTGGTGCTTTAGTTCACATATTGCCTAGCAAGTCTTAGTAACAGAAGATTCAATCACCTCAGAACATCAAACAAACTGAAACAAACAAAATAACCACATCAGCATAAAGTGAGCTGTATCTATTTAAAATGTCACAGTTACAAAAAAACAAACCCAAACTCAAAGCAAACCCAACTAAAGCAAACAAAACCACAACCCCCTAAACTGCCTTTGCATCCTTCCCCAGAACCAGTGCACCAGTGTTCAAACAAACCACAAGTCACACTTAAATCTTATAATTTACAACAGCACCTGGGTAATTTCTAGTAATCAAACAGAAAAAAGTTCACATAGAGACCTGAAAACAGATGTAAACTGCCAAACTTCCTTTTCCATCCCTCTGAACAGCTCATATATCTTAATGTATATGCCTTTAAACTCCAAGTAAGTAGAAATCCTCCAAAATACTGACATTCACACTGCCATTTTGTACTTGTTTTATCCATAGCTGGTAAGCAGGAAGGAGCAACATCACAGACTGAACCATTCAGTTAACCACAAGTGTGTCTGAGCTGCCTTACTTTAAATCTTTCTCTGCTTTTACATGGCAGCCACGAGCACAAGCCTTAACACAAAACAAAGTGAAAAAAATGAATCAAAATGGAATTAAAAATTAAACCTACCCAATCCTACCCTAAAATGTCACTGTTTTAAAGATATATGTGGAAAAATATTTAGAAAGAAGGTAAAAAAATAAAAGACTTTGTCTTTTCCTTCCTAATTTTAATACAGCCACATCTTTATTCTTCAGTTAGTAGGTGAACTTCCATTTGCTGTTAAGGTGTTCTGCATAAAAGCAATGAGTCCTGTAACTGAACATTTCATACTGAAGTCTAATGCAGATCCAGCCCAAGAAGACACATGCAACTTGGAGCTGAAACACAAAACATGAGGTGAAGTGGGGCAAGAGGACTGCAAGGTATGACTAAGAGCAGAAATTCAGGTGAAAAAAGGAAGCAGAAGGAAGAAAAAAGGCAGTGGGGAAAAGAAAATAACAAGTCAAGCAGCAACTGAGCATGCACCGCAAGTCTGGGAGGATGGGCTAAGTGTATTGTAAAGTTACTTCACTATTCTCATTCAGTACTGTTTTTCCTGAAACAGATCACCAAGGAGAAAGCACTTCACATTCATAATCTCGATCTGTTTCAAAAAGTGTATTCTTTAAAGGAAATCTTGTCAAATTGGAGCCCCTCTGCCCCAGCTTCTTCAGTTTGCAAAGTCATGTCCACACCTGCCAATATGGAACTCTGTGCATGCCAAAGCGCTGGGCAAGAATCTCACTTGGCAAGTATGAAGGAAAAGTATTTTAATGGCAAGCACATAATTTGTCAAAACAGCAACTGAAAGACCCTAGAAGAAAGGGCAAAACTGAAGGAGTAAATACCCATCCCTTTCAAATGTCTGAGTCAAACCTGTTAAGTCCTGAAACAGATGCTGCCATAACCTCTTCTAAACACCTCTCAATCAGTTCAATGGAAGCCATTTATAATGCGTGTGGAAAGTAAAACAATGAAAAGAATGTAAAAAATAAAATGCAACTAATCAGATTTGTGTCTATTTCTGACTTTGTATTAGAAATTGGTATTTCTAAGTGTTCTTCTAGCTGCAAAACTACTACTTCTACTAGCTTGAAAGTGATCTGTAGTACTGATTTTTCTGAGTAAAATTTTCAGATTTTTTTTACCATGAAAAACACTAGAAACAGACTTTGTTTTAATTACTGATGTAAAATCTCTAGTAATATTTCAGTAATTACACTTCAGGGTTTTCTACAACGGATCAGTAAGTTACCTATACTCACAATTTCATGCATTTT